TTCCCTTCAGCAAATTTATTAACTATTTCACTCCAATCAATATTATTTGTAATTTCTGTTTCCATACATAAGACTGATAATTGTGAAGTTTTTTCACTTGATAATGATGATCGAAGGTATGTTTTAACTCTTTTAAGAACAGAGAATGATCGTTCACCACTTGAGTTAGAACATGGCAAACATGTAAATATTTTTAATGCAATTTCTATTGATGGAAATGTAGATGACGTAATTTATTTGTTTATCGAAAATAAATATAATCTTAAATTAATCACTAATCAGATAGACAAGGTAAACGCTATTATGGTTTGAGGGTCACAACTCGGCAGTCACTCATCAGAAAACCCGTGCGAGTATAAATAACTCGCGATAAGAAGTTTGTGACCAGTTCACCAGTTTATTATATCATTATTTTTAGTACCTAAGTACCTTCATAAAATTAAATTCGATTCATTTTTATTTTATTATCGGTACGACAAAAATATATTTCTAAATATATAACTAAGGAAATATTTTTCGTAATTTTTTCATTAAAATTTCTCAAGCTCGAGGCGCCCCTTGATTTTACCAAACTGTGGCGCCCGGGGGCAAATGACCCCTTTGCCCCCCCCTTAACACGGCCCTGGGTACACGTTACGTCTGACATGCGCAATTCTTTTTACACACATCTATAAATGGAGTTATACCTAATTATTGTATCTGAAATATTTTAGAATATCATAATATCGAGTATCGACCATATCGTATTTTGAAAGTATCGCCTAGCTATTATCATGGCTGTATTGCATACAGAAATTTATTTTAGGATCAGCCTAATCTTAAGATATTATACTTAAATATGGCAATATTGAATTTCATATTGTGGCTGTAATATCACAAATTATAAAATGCAATAAACACAACCATAAATATTATACACAACATGTCACACGATAATATTAGCTTTATTATTTAGTGCAACAATGCCACAAATCGAAATAAAGCAGTCTTGAATTTTAACGTCGGTGGTTAATTGGATAAATTAAAATAAGTATACAAGTAAATATGGCTCTCTTGCTTTGAAAATTAAATAATTCCATACTGATTTATATTTTAAGAGTTATGAATGCTATTATGGCAAAATTAAAAATGATATTTAATGTGGGCATGTCTCATTTAATATAGCTATTTGTTCACTATTCAAAAATAGTCATAACCTAAAATTGATGAATTTTGAGTTGTAGCAGTCTTGTTCTAGAGGTGCAAATATTATGTGAAATAACTCGACCTCTCGTTAACCTGACGACTGACCAGAGGGCGCAGAACGGCCAGTAACTTACTGATGCAGGACGCTCGAGCCGTCACGAAACATCCGTTTGATAACCCGATAATCCTCAGGAATGCTGAGACACGATTGAGCATAAAACACATTTTTTACGACACGATTTAGCAAAAGTTGTCAGCGTATTACAAGAAATTGGAATACAAAAGAAAACCTATATGATTGAGCATAAAAAATTCTGAACGTTGCCATTTTCAATTTTGAACTGTATTATACAAAAATATTCATTTAAATAATTATAATAATTCAAAATATAAACATGTCAAAAAATAACATGATTACATAGTCAACAATATAGTCACATTATAATATTATATAGATCTGTTTGATGATAATAATGATAAAACGTACAATTTTCTGGTTACTGCATCCTATCGTAAAGTTTAAATTTAAAATAATAAATTAAATTGATATGCCTAGGTATCTGTTTCAAAGTTGGCTAAATTAATAGAGATTTCGTATTCTTACGATTTAAATATTAGTTGAAAGCTTGAATATTAAATTCCATTTTTTTTATTTCTTTAGCGGATTGTATTTTTAGGGGCTTAGGTTGAATTGATCTGATCCTAATCATCCTAATCAGAAATTGTGTTTCGATCACTACCTTGACGACTGCATGGGCGATGGGCACGAAGCCGAGGTGAATAAAAGTAAATAATTCAAAATAATTGGTATAATAATATGTGAAAATAATAAATTACAACATTTCGGCGACTTAACATAAAATATTCTATGCTCAATCGTGTTGCTAAAAAGGTATATGTTCAATCGTTCTTTACCGCTCAGGAGATCAACTAACATGGTAGGAAGTATCAGAAACCGAATCGTGTCGGTTTGTAGGTTTGGATGTCGGAGCACTGCGAAAAAAACATAATAGGTATACACAAGTAACATAACGAATTAACGAAAGTACGGCTAGATTTTGAGAAACTGCTGCCCTAGGTCCTTTTAATTACGTCACCCCTTTCAGAAAAAATCATCTAAGTTTTCATTACATATTGTATAAACTTTAATTTTAACAATTAAATCAATTAAAATTAATATTGAAAAATTACAAGGGAAAACGTATTAGATATTGAAAATTTATGAATCCAAATGTTTAATATTCAAGTTGAAACATAAAATATATACAACATATAATTGTATTAAAAGTACCAATAAGTATTTGAAATAAGATAAAATCGGAGTTCAACGTGGCCTGTAGGAAGTCTTTTCTTTCAGTTTAAAATTTAGTTATCAACATGTCAATTCTATAAAAGGCTCGAAAATTATTCCTGTAAAGTAATGTTTTTCGATATAATTATACCTATCAACCCTCAGCAACACTTGGACCCTATTTAACATGCTACTGGAAAATTGTGAAGGTTTAATTTTGATTTCACCTGACCACTATTTTCAAAGTTCGGCACCACCACTTGGCACCTATACCTATTACCTACACCGTTTTCACTGTTTAAATAATTATAATTGGATCAATTATACATAATGAATAATATGTACCTATAATCTATATATACCTAACTATTTGTCAACAAGTATTCAAAACAGTATCAAAATTCTCGTATAAAATATATTAATTAATTTAATTTAATTAACTTTATTTTTTTTATTGGTCAGAAATATACATCGACAACTAGGCCATTAGTACAAGAATTTTTTGGTTACATTATTAGTATTTGCATAATTACATTAAATTAAATTGTACAATTCTGTTTTTTTTTAAGAATAAAATTAAGTTTTTTACGTCCTTAACTTTTATTTTGTTGGCTTTAGTATGTATATATTATGGGATTTAATGTGCTATAACTTATAGGGCAGCTAAAATAATTGTTGTTGCTGTTAATAACCAATAGTATATATTATAATCAACGAAAGATTTGTATAAGAAACATTTTGATAGAAGTCAGGTAGGCTTAGATAGTACCTTAACACCTAAGTTTCTTATAGCAGCAATGAACAAATTGAGAGTGAAAATTTAAAAAAAAATATTTTGTTAACATAAAATTAATAATACATATTATTGCGCTAAGTGATTATTCATTTTAATAATATTAGATTATAAATTACAAAATTTTTTATTGATTTAGTAGATACCAATAATTATAATTATAGGTTTTTAAATTTATTTTTAATTATTAATGAGTCATAAATTTATAATCTAATAAATTGTGATTTATTTACCATATTATATTACAGATTTCACAGTTTTTTTCTTACATATTTCCACAATCTTCACTGCCAACATATGGCATATTTGGTTGACAGTGCATAAAAATCCGAGCTCTAGCTCCAAACTACAATATGCTCAGAATAGAACATAACTAATAAGATGAAACATTATGTAGTACAAAACATTATACGTTAAAATCACCGGCTATAAGATACTATAATCATTCGAATCATAATTAAAACTACTTTTTTCCATTTCTAAAAATCAGTTAATTTTTTTTTTAAGAATAATAAATTTGAAATGTGGCTCAACGAATCCAAACTTGTTTTAACAACAAAATAAAATGTTTTCAAAATTATTATCGATGGAAGACTCAAGTCAGTATATGGCAGAAATCATTTATGTTCGATTTACGTCAAGTACTTTCACCATGATATGATTGGTTCGCTTGAGTCGAAGGATTCAAAATAGGCTTCATAATAAATCCAATATTATGATCAGACTAAAACTCAAGTCAGCACCTACCTACGTTGGGAAACGCTAGAGTATTTTTCTCCAAAAAAACGGTAGTGTAGAATTTTTCGTAAGACATAGTACCTTTTGACCATTTGTCAATTTCTTGTTACCCAAACACAATTTAATATATTTCCTTCAAAATTTAAAACAAAATGCAAGTTTATCATTCAACTAGCCGCGGCCCATTGGGCTATTGCTAAAATCGCATTCAGAGGTAAATTACAATACTGCCGTATGGGTAGTAGTTCAACACTTATTATAATCGATATTACCATTTTTATGTGTATAACAAAATTAAATTCTCTAACCTAACCTTTTTAACTTTAAGAAGAGAAAATATAATATATTCCATTATAGACATCGATTTTTACACAATATCTGTCAATATATTATAATAGAAATTGACTAAACTGTGCATCTTAAATAGTTAAATTAGAGTTTCATTCTAAACCAATGTATTTAAATTACAAAATTTTTAGATCCTCCGTCGTGTGGCCTGTTGGTCTAGGGGTATGATTCCTGCTTTGGGTGCAGGAGGTCCCGGGTTCAAATCCCGGACAGGCCCGTGAAACTTTTGTAACTTTTTACTTGTTTAAACAATCATAAAACGCCATTATTTATTCATAAAAAATTGTAAAAATAAATTTGTTTTAATTTTAAGTAAAATGGACTGCAATTATACAAACCTCTATCGTCAATATATTTTGCATTCATTAAAAAACTTTAAAGTATTTATGTTAAATGATCAAATCTTCTAATGAAGACCTAACACTTAACCATCACGGGTTGTCAACAATAATATAAGTTTTACTTAGTCCTTCAGATATATGCCTAAGAATCATACTTAAGTTTTATAACCATAATTCATAAGAAGTAAAATAATAAAAACAAATAATATAAATTAATTTATGTATAGCAATTTAATTTAAACATGAACAAATATAAAATATAAAAATTGGATATAATAACAAAAACTTCCTTATAATTTGTAGTAAAAAATCAGAAACTAAAAAACTTTGTACTTTAAATTTTGATAAAATAAATGTAAGTAAAGAACAGTTAATTTATTGTAATTTTATAAAATCAAGAACGTCTTTGTTATCAATATAAAGTTTAACTTGATTTGGAGTTGTACCATCATTCTCTGTAATGATGCACATAATAAACGTAACTTTAGGGTTAGCCAACTTTTGGAAGTTACTCAAACTATACTTTTTTTCATCATCAAGAATCAATGAACAGGTCATGCATAATATAGGAATTTTGCGTATACTTTCTGGTAGTTCATACAAATTTGTTACAGACAACAAATCCAAAGTATCATCTATGTCAATGACTAAATACTTAGAACCACTATTTGATTCCAACTTCACACGTACATATTTTGATTTGATTTTTGTAAGATAGAACTCACCAACTACGGGGTTTTGTACTTCCACTATATTTGTAGTATTAATATAGCTTTCCAATATTTGGAATATATATTCCTGATCGCTGGTCATTGCTTTAATTTTGAAATCGGTAAAAGACTTAACATGTGTTAATTGAACATATAGAGGATAAATCATTTCACTAATGTCAGAATCTTCTAGGTGCAAAGAGACCACACAAGGATCTCCCTGAGTTTTTATCATCATCTTAAACTTTACACCATCAATTGATGTAATGTCTTTAAACATATCATTAACATTAGGAAACCAAATTTCATTTTCTTGGCCAGCCAACTTAGGTGCATATAATGAACAGCGTCTAACTACTGGAGGGCACATACAAAGGAAATCTGTAGGCTTATAAAATTCAGTGCAATCTTCATATTCACCAAAGTCCAATAGGTAACATTTAGCACTAATACAATCATCAGTGATTATATCTATTTTGGCTCTACACCAACAGTTAAAATATTTACTTAATGTAACAACAACAGAACCAACCATACAATCATTTAAAGATAATTCAACTACGCTCACATCCAAGTCTTCAGTGATCCGTTGCATATATAACATTGACAAACTATCAGAGTGCGCATAAAAACATTGGAATGTGTCAACATACTTGATTATCACAGTTTCTACTTCAGGTATATTCAAAACATTATCATTATTTAACGGATTTTCCGAAGTTGTTTTTGCATGATTGTCATTAAGTTCAATGTTCTTCAAAATGGGTACATTTTCATATATTTTATTGGTATCAGAAATGTCATGGTGATCTATAGTTAAAATTTTATACAAAATATCTAAGCAATCTACACCATCATAAGTCAATGTAACTCTGTAGGGTTCAGTGTTACTTGTAGTTGTCATTATCCATTGATATTGCATCATCATTTCTGAGATAACCTCAGAATTTAGGGGATCATTAATGTTAACATCCATAATTTCTTGATCCAGACAACAGTGAAAATACAATTTCTCATCACAAAAGATGTCAGGGAGAACTTTAATTTGTGTTGCGTTGCAAATAGTATCATCACTAATGATCCGAACAACTAGATTTGTTTTAATGGGGGTCAATAATTCGGCCATATACCATAAACCATCATTTTTATCAGTCAATGCTGCCACTAGTGTACCAATATGTGGAGGCTGTAGAAAATCTTCCAAGTTGTTAGCAATACAATTTAATTGTTTGTCTACATTTTCATTATTTGAATCACAATCATATTTGACTTTTTTTACATAGAACTCATTAAACGATTCAAACCTATTGATTGCAATACACCATGACATAATTGACACAGTAGATGTTATTTCTGATTCGTTACTGTAATTTGCGAATAATTTCACCTCAAGTAGTGGCTGAGTATAAGACATAAGCTTACATTCAACATCTTTGTTTAAAAGTGTATTAATGTCAATATTCGACACAACTTGACAGCGTAAGGCACAATTTGGTATTTTCTGAATTTCACTAACCAATTTAGTGGTTTTCAATGCTTTAAACCGTTCACCTGAATCTATTGACAAAACATTTTCAGCGCTTCCATCGATATCCAATATCAAAGCTCTGTGCCATTTTTTTGTTATGGAATGTAATGCAGCACACATCGAACCAATTTCAGTCACAGGTGGTATCATTTTTGACTGCATTTTTATAAGAACATCAGATATAATCTTTAGCTTTTCATCAAATAAATGAGGAACAATCCAACAGTCACTGACTGAGTTAATACATGTGACTCTCACTAAACAACCATTTTCAAGGGATTCCATTAATGTGTTTTGTGACTGTACTGGTGTCATTTTGTTTGGCAAAGCATTAAGTGTTCCGTCATGGTCTACTCGCATGTTGGCTAGAAACATTGTTCTAGACATGTTACATGCCATTGGAAATGTTTTAACGGTGATGACAAGTGCTGGTAACAGTGCTATTTTAGTAAGCCCCAACCATTGCAACTTTTTCTTCTCTATTTGTTTTTCATAACCAAAGTCAATGCAATGTACAACTGCCAATTTGGAAGTAATTGATTTAACTACACATCTATAATATTTACCATGGCTTTCAAACATGCTTATGTCTCCTGGTACTATGGAAGTTTTACTTTCTAATTTACCAGTAAGTTTTGATAGATTTTCAGATATTTTTTCAACAATTGATATATCTTGAGATCTCTGCATGTAAGTCAAGTCACCATCAACGTGTAAAAATGATATTTTCTCAATACCCCGAACAATTGGAGTAGAAAGTGGAGTAGAACAATGTTCTTGTATATTTATAAACAACCTATAAAATCAAAAAATATTAACTCATAATAAATAATAGAAAAACTGTGCAATACTCTGTTAAAAACAGTTTAAGTATAAAATTCAAAATATGAAAAGTAGTTTTTATAGTTTGTATGTGTTTGACAAAGATAACAGATGATAAACCTCACTTTCTCCAAAAATATTTAAACAATTCCTAAATGTGTTTACTTACATTCCGTTAGGATCAATGGATTTTACTGTTATTTTATACAATGTTTTTTCAGTAATTTTGATGTCTAAGTCTTTACTCTCCAAATGACAATTCAAACTAAGTTGAGGTCTTCTCATTAAATTACTTGTAATTGGTCGAATCTAAACAGTTTTAAATATTTTCTTTTAAAGATTACTAAATTAAATGCATTTCAGTTGAATCTCGGTAACTCAAAGATTTTTCTTGCCCATGAACTGTTTCTAAAGATGTGTATTACTCAAAAATTACCCAAGCAAATGTATTTTTATTACTTTTGAGTTATCGAAACTTGGCTGAATATAGAAATAAGTAAAAAATGAGATTATTATGAGTTACTAGCAGTTATAATGAGGAGATTATGAACAGGGCTCAAAACTTTAATCTTTAAAAACAATGGAATATGTGCTTAAGAATGCACTAAATAAGCGCAAAATATACAACTATATAATTATATTGGAATAATAAAAAATTATTCATTAAGTGCGGTATTAATTCAGGTAAACTAACAGTTTACGATTCATTCTAGAGGTAAAGGGATAAAAGGTAATTTTTGAAAGTTTATGTGTTGGTGATTTTTGAAATATTTTTTTACATAAGCTAAAATTGTATCATCAATAGTACCAAATTATATTCGTATTTCTTCCAAAATTCTATGGGCACTATGGGCCATTGGTAAAAATAATTTTTTTTTGTTGAATAAATGTTAAATAAGACTAATAACCAGAATAAATTTACAATTAATATTCAATATGGATTTGAAAATTTGTTCGTAGTTGATTTATAATAAATTATAAACAGAATATGCATTAATATGCCTAAAATTTTTAAACATGCAAATCATATAAATTTAGTAAAATATGCAGATTTGCAACATACATTTTTATACAATTGTGTGTATCATAAAACAAATTTGCATCAAATCAGATTTTGAATATGTAAATGCATGAAGTTTTGAGCCCTGGTTATTATAAATTAAAACAATATTTTGAGTTTGATGCTGTTGAAAGCTAAACATTTTTAGGGGTTCGGATTTAGGCAATATCCTATATCCATCGGAAGTGATGTGTGAATGTGTGTACTAATGACTGATCATTAGCATGTATGCATCCCCCAAAAGCTTCATGTAATTAAAAATAAACTACAGCTAACATTTTTGAAAATCCGTAACATATGTACAATCACACATCGCAATATTTTGGGATAAAAAAAGAAATTCATAACGAAAGTCCTAAAAAGCACAAGAAAAATGCACCCAGTAACAAAACCCTGATTTTAATTTTGTTAACATATTTGAATTCCGTATTCACTTTTATATGCTATGTGCCAAATTAATTTTCATTTTTTTTTCAAAATTCACCTTTACAGTGTTGCTAAAAAAAAAAATTATTTTTCCTACAAAACAGACAAGTGAAAAAATTCAAATATTTTTTTCAAAATTAGAATTGCACTTTTGGGAGTACATTTTTTTTTCTTCTGCTTATTGGTTTAAATGCACGAAAAAAACAATTTGCTTTCAAAAGCCTTAATAAAATGTCAATAAAGCAAAAACCTGATTTAATGAAACATCAGTCAATAAACCAATATCGAACATGTTTACTATGATGGACTCTTCATTTATGTTTTTAATAGAAGCTCTATACCATTGATCGTTATTGACAGTTGCCAAACAATATGTACTTTGTAAATAATTGATATCCATTGATTCTGAGTCCTGTGCATTACAAATTAAGCAAATCATGGTTGAACTATAGTGATAACATTTAAGTCATTATTAACAAACATGAGTGAACTAACAGGATTTTCATTGATGTGTTTTGCAATTTCTTCTTCCAGTTCATCAACCGTGTTTGGTTCTGGTTGAATTCTCAGTTTTAAATGGTAATTATAAACATATGAAAGGAAACTTTGACCTAATAATAGGTTTTCTTCGTATGGATTTTCATCTATTAAAATAAAATTACAATTAAAAATTGTTTTCAATTAAACTTAACTTCTAAAGTTATAGGGGTTCGATAGTTTTTATATTGAAGAATATGATACAATAATAACAAATGTTTTATTTGTCAATAACAACATTAAATAAATTAGTATTGCAAGAAAAAGTAAACACATAGACACTTTCTCAATAAGCATAACTTATGATAGGGGATAGTAATTCATAATCTATAATAAACAAAAAGAATATTCTAAAAACGACTTCAAATATAAGCTTGTATGAACAAATAAACATTAATATCTATTTATAAAACTAATTAAGTTAAACAGATAAAAAACAAAAGCAAAAATATGAATATGAAGATTATCAAATGTACATTTAGATCTAGAGAGGATATATAGTAATTAATTAATTGTTCTGTATTTAATTTTTTAATATGACTTAAATTGATATTACATTTCTTGAACACAGCAGTTACAACAAAAATTATACTTATCTGACCAAAGACAGTCTTAAACTTAATTGAATTTAAAACAGGTAGTTGTTTGGATCTTGTATTGTGTGCATGCTGTACAGTATAATGTCGCTGATATCCATTTTTAATAATTTGAGTTAACAATTTTTAAAATAAATTCCATATATATTTAGAATACCAACATCATTATATAGTTGGAAAGGTGAATAAAATTGACTTTCAATTTATGTGTTTACTATAACTTTTAGTTTATGCAAAACCAGTTTTGTTCATTTTACTCCATACTACAATTGCATAATATGATAAGAGCAAAAATGTGTGCTTATGTAAAGTACACCATGTTCAAAATATATTTTAACTATTTTAATATAAAAAACAATTACCTAATAAGTGAGGAACTGAGGAAATATAATAATATGACGATCACGAGTATGTGATTATTCTATTTTAAATGTTCATCAATAATAACTCCTAAATATTTTATAATACAGTCAACTCGCGATATAACGAATTTCAAGGGACCAAGAAAAAAATTTGTTATATCGAAAGTTCGTTACATCGAAATTCGTTATATCAAGAGAATATACCAATTGAATTCGTTATGACGAGATTTAAAGAGATTGTACATATTTATTTAAAAATTTTATTATTCGTATACATATGTATAAAATATATGAGTCATAAAAGTATGTATTAATTCGACATAAGTCTTATCTTAATTGCGATACTGTACTTGAGTGTCCTATCGCATGATAATCATCAGAAAAACTTTGTAATCTATTATGTGGTAATACCAACATACTTATTTTTATATATCTTTCATAGAGTTATACACTAGATACATGTATATTATCTTAATTAAAATTAAAAATTCGTAATAAAAAGCTCCAAATTTATAAAAATTCGTTACATCTCGAGAGTTTTGATCAAAAACGCTTCGCTACATCGAGGGGACCAAAATACATTACATTTGTTCGTTATACCGCGATATTTTCAAGGGACCGGTAGTTTTATTCGTTATATCGAGATTTTTGTTATATCGAATTTCGTTAAATCGCAAGTTGACTGTAGCTGTTTTATGTATAAATAACACAACTGTTTTGGTTAGCAGTATAATAATATTTACTCAAATGGATCATGTTTATGCCCTCAATATATGTAGTCCTCTATTAATATTAATTGATAAATGATTATAGATTCAAAATAAAATCTACAATATATTAAACTATAGAAGATACTCTTAGAAAATGTATATTATAAATTATACCTGTTTTCATAGCAGCATTTAAACGTTGCCCAATTCCAGACTGAAGTATAGCATTTGAAACATCAACATTGGTATCTTTTTGAATCATCTGCACTACTTTTGTTCCAGACTCGTTAGTTTGTATGATCAATATCTTATATAGCTGACCAATTTTAAAGTATGGTTGTAACATTAACGTAGTATCAATATTTATAACAGGGAACCACATGTCACTTAATGAGCAATGTATTACTAATTGTCCAGGTACGTTACAATCACTTTCAACAAAATTGTACAATATGATTTTGTCAAAATATTCATTGATTATTTTATCTCCTTCGTCAATCAATTGTAATTTAATATCTATAAATAAATGAATACTAATAATTTTGGCTTAGCGTAATAACATATTGAACATAATAAGCAAATCAAAGTAACTAACTTTCAATTTTATAATCCATGTCAATTATTTTAGCACGATATATAGAATTTGATTGAATCTGATAAATAACATACATATTTTCCACAAGATCACATTTTTTCAAAATACAACGAGAGTCCAAAATGGATTTAATGTAGTCCATATAAGGTTCAAAATTTGGATTGTATTGTCTAACACTAAAGTCAAATGGTGATTTGTAATAAATCAATGAACCAATAATTTCTTGTGCATTATTTAAAGTTTCTTTCTTTAAAAACATTATTGGGAATATCTAAAAAAAAATGATTCATTTAATGTGAGATACTCATTATTTCAAAAAGTTATATAGTTTTTGATTAAATAAGAATAACCTCCGTGGCGACTATTTATTAGACCACACACATTAATTAAATTGATCTTTGTCATCAGCAGTTTTAACTATTAGCTACACCACTAAAATTGCTTTAATATGTTGCCCCCCCCCTCCCCCCACACCAAAGGGTACTCTTATATCATATGACAGTATAGAAAGGTGATTTATAGTGTGGCCTAAGAATACATGTTTATACATTGTGTATATTGTATAATAATTATTAAACTAGCTAATCTCATACACTTTGTAGCCCATTAAAAATGACAACTCTATATGACTTGCTTGGAATAATGAGAGCAGTATTTAACAGGAGGTCCAGCGGTTCCCAACCCATGTGATGAGGCAGTGTGGTACTGAGCCTTAAACCAGGAGGACAAGCAATGTCAAAAATTACATTAAGCTATTTAACTTGTGATTAAGTTGAATTAAGTGTTTTAATTAATAAAAAATTGTTTTTTTTTAATTCTTCTATTTCTAACAGCTGACTTAAATGTATATGTATACACACATATAGGTGTGCTGTTAGTCGGCTTCAAATATTTTTTTACAAAATTGGTGGTCCACACAAATAAAAAACTAGGAACTGCTGAGGCGGGCAATCCATCCGATAAGTGCGCAAGTAATCCCATCACTTTGTTACAAATGTTTTTTTTTCTGACACGCCGATGAACAGCTATGAGTGCCACATTGGTAGGCAACGAGCATAAATTTGATTTGATGCAAGTTTCGATCAACCAATGACAACCAATATACAAAAAAAAATACTCATTTCTACTAAATACGTAATTATATTTCTCCTAAAACTAATAGCAGCCATTTATAAACAAATTTCTTTTGTTAATATCAAAATCCCCGTTTGAGCAACCCTTCGGGTTAGACCTACCAGTTTTAATCGCGAATCTAAATCATCCAGGGAATCACTCACATACACACAAAAAAATGTGATCAAAATCAGTCCAGCTGTTTAGGAAAATATACAGACATACATTCATTTGTATACATGAAGATTATTTATGAATAACATTAATATCGTTAAAAATGCTTTCTTACTTGAAAGTGTTTTGGCAATTGATGTTTTGTATGCACAAAAAAATACATTTATTAATTTTTAAAAAAAGTGAACAAATGACATCGATTGAACATCAAAGAGTAGTTAGCAAATGCATCAAGAATTCACACGAGAACCCAGCCTAAATGCATTTAGTGTCACCAGTAGGGACAGATAGGGACAGATAAGTACAGAGCTTTAAGTTTATTAATTAATAAAACTTTAGGATTAGTATAGTTAAAATTGTTTGAAAATATATAAGATTTAATTTTTTTGGTACAACACATTAATTAAATAGGAGTCATATCTATACTAAGACTAACTTCAGTCACCTTTTAAACAGAATTTTAATTTGGGCACCAGTAGGTTTTTTCATGAGTTTGAGGGAATGATAATATCTTTCTTTAGAAAGTTTCCTGCCCAGAAATATGTTACTGTCTACTACTTTAGTTTAATTCATCCTCTCTGTCTACCATTTAATTAATTTAAATGAGCTTTATGGTTTTATTATAATATCCAATGTTTGTCTTTTAAAATTGATCTGTTTTATATTCTAGTTTATAAATATTAAGAATTCAAATGTTATAAATATAAATTAATTTATTGCAACAACTTGTCTAATACCTATACTATTGGGCATTTGATCGTTTCTATTAATTTTAATAAACAATTATTATTATTATTATTATTAGTTTTTTTTGTATGTTATAATTTTAAGATAATATATTAATATATAAGATATTGAATTAAATAATTGTTGTGATTAAATATGATATGTGAGTTTACAGTTCATATACAACAATCAATACTATATTTTCTATCACAAATGTTTAGTATTAAGATATTGCCAACTCACTTTTTTTGTAACTTCTGGTTTTTTTTCCACTACTTCAAGTTCTATGATTTCTTTTATTTCTGAATCTGTGATTTCTTTTGTTTCTGAATCCACACTTTCTTTTTTTTTTGAATTTATGCTTACTATTTCTTTTTCTATTTGAATACCCTAAAAATAAAATATTCAAAACTGTGTTTTTGAAAAGGCATTTAACCAACAAAACAAAAAAGGATTACAATTTAAATGTAGTTTGAGTATTGTAAAAATGACCAGGTGACGTTTGAATACAATACTACCAATTGTAAGGATCAGGTTTTAATATTAACGAGTGCTATTTATAGGTGTTATGACTTTGACCCCTCTTTCCACCAAATACTTAGATAATGATGTCTTTTAGTATAGTCTAACTGGTGCTGTTACAAGTATATAGTATGCAATCTACCTTTAAATTAATGGTCTACTAAAATGACAAGTATACAATTATATTTTCTAATCAAAAGAGAGTAGAGGACCCACCTATGCATTATTATTACAATTATAAAAATCATTATTTTTCAAAAAGTAAGTTGAAAACAGTAAGCTTATAGTTGTTTGACATGCTTTTATCAGTAACTTAAAATGAAACTCTCCTTTCTTTTACCCTTCATAACATTTTTTCCACATGGTATTTTAATTCTTTGCCAAATATTTTTTTAGTTTTTTTACAACTATAATCATTTGAGTCCAGCACCACAAAAAGTGACATAAAATTGACAAACAAAATGCATGCATTAGACTGTAACTGTTATACTCAAGAAAATAATCCACTAAAATGTGTTAGCCTGTATTCTACTAACTTATAAAAACTGTAATGTTCCTATTACATGTAAGATAAAAAAATACAAAAATTATGTGTTCATTGAAATTATCAATAATTATCATAATAAAAAGTTAATGTTGGTAGGTAAAAATCAACATTAATCTTGAGATTATAGGGCACCCAGTCCATATTGCAAAATATGGTTCCTGCCTATAAATGAGATTATACAAGGAGGCCCAGACAAGCACTATTACATGTTACTTAGTCAGTAAACATCTTCATTCTTCACATTAAAATAAGTTTTTTCAATAAGATTAATTTTACTAAACATATACCTAGTAAAGGATATTATACTTACATTAAGATGGTTTATTGGTATTGTACAATTTTCAGCATTATTTTCAATGCTTTTAATCTCATCCTGTAAAAATACATTCATGAAACTGCTGATTTACAAAAAAAATTTTAATTTTCAAAATTGATATTTATTTTATACAATATTTGTACAATAGTCAGAGGCATACAATTGCATGATGGAATAATTGCACTATAGAAACAGTTAAAATAGTATCTTTTGTGTTAAACGGTTTTATCAATTGTTTTAAGATGAATGGACTTTATTTTATTTTATTCGTTTTGAAGACTTAAAAACAAGCAATGACAAAACCAATATACGGGGTTTCCCGTGAGGATTTACTCATTGCGATATCTCCTGAGTAGATATCATAATTCTGGTTTTTTACTTAGACTCACAGAGATAAGCACTACAAATAATTCATGTTTTAATATTTTCTTTATGTTTCGGTAAAAAAGTTAAAAAATATTTTTTTTTATTAATTATTTTAAAAAAAAATTGAAAATAGCCATTTTGTAGAGTTTATTTTTCTGAAAATATTGATATTTCAACATTTTAATTTAATTAATCTCCTGTTTTTAATTAATTTTTCAGTTAATAGGTAAAACAGCAAAAAAATCGGTTTTTGTAAGGGCGGCGAGTCCCCCTCTACGGCTAATGGGTATATCCTCACGGGACACTCTGTATATTTGGACCATTGATAAACAAATACATTTTTGTTATCAGTATAGGTTAAGTAAAATATACATAACAGCATAGTGACCATATTATACTAGGTTTATAACAGTAACATAATAGTACCATCAGTTTTTTTAGTAATCAAAATTATACTTAAAAAAAAAAATCATTGTTGGTAAAATATTTTTTCAGGTACCGTAATATTAAAACTAATAAAAATAATTTAGCTAAGTTATGATCAGGGCTCAGAAGTTCTAACAAATGCAAATTTGTCTTGTTTCGTGCTGGAGCATCCAAAGTAAGATAAAAAATGTTTCACACTAGTCTGATGTCATACACAAAATTTTATTTTGCTATTTTTTTTTTTGCATATTTACGGTTTTTAATACTATTTTACTAATTTAAGGTCTATTCATATTATAGGAGCTATTTTGTTAATTTGGAGTCATAAATGCTGTTTATGGGCATATTTTTAAAAACTAAATTACCTACCTAACAGCCGCCTACTAATATGTGAATGAAAACAAATTGTTTATCAGAGCCGGACCAAGTACCTAGTTCTTAGATACCTACCATCATATTCTATGAAAAACATTAAAAATCTGTAAAATTAAAAAAATCGAATACTTCATACTTAAAAATCTGTAAAATTAAATATATCTTAATTTCATATTTAAAAAAATTTGTTGAAAATTTTATTTTGCGTATTTCCCAATTTTAGTGTTATTTATAGCACTTATATTAATGTTTTTATGTGCATATTTAAGAGCTAAAAAATAATTATTTTAGTGGTATAACTTCCAAGCCCTGCTTATGATTTTTGGAAAAACTGAGTTTTACTAACACATTCATTTGTTAGGTTTGCAAAAGAAAGAAAAATATAAAAATAATTTTCATCTTGATTATCGATAAAAATTTGTAATGAATTGTCCGTTCAAATAATATTATTAAACACCCTAGATGTTATATAGTAATATAAATGTTTTTTTAATCTAGACATAAAATATAAAAATATTTTAAAACTGAATAGGTACATACATTTATCTCTGTTATTGAAAACATTTCTTGCGACTCCATAGTTATTAAATCATATGTATCTTTTGATACTTCACATACATCAACAGGTCCTTTATTAGTTTTTTTGAACAATTTAATTTTGTACAAACCAAAATTAGGATCCATTTTCAACGGTAACATTTGAAAATATTTTTGAATAAACATGTTTTGGTCTACAATAGTATCTTTTGGCTTGTCTAGTACCACATTCAAAGATCGCATTTCAATTAAATAGCAACTAAAAAAATATAGTTTACAAATGTTACTATAAATATAATATTATATAATTAGGAACTATTAAAGTAAAAATACATCCTTAGTCACATTTAAATATATTAACTTACTTGGAAGGTATTTCAAAAACTGCAGTCCTAGGCACCAATTCTTTGATTCCATAATCTACTAGATCAATGTATAATTTATCTACTTTTATTTCTAAAATAATAGCTCTAACTAATTTGTTACGCAAAACAATCAAACAAGGAGTATACACTTCAAGAACAGGTGCCAGTTTTAAATTTTGTCTGTCAATTGAATTTAACATAGTGGTTAATGCTTCAGATTCATTGTCCTAAAGTAAAAAAAATAAAAAATAAATAAATGCATTCTTCGAGATTAAATTCGTTTTTGGAATTTTGTAGTATATTTAATATATAATATTATAATATCAGTACCTCAGAGGTAAAGGAGACCATAGTTAAGTCAAATTTTTGATTATCTTTACCGCTAAAGAAAACGGCCAAGGCTTTATTCTCCATCTCCTTATTTCTGTCACTTTTGATAAGTGGACATGGTGTCCTTTACCTCCACGATACAGATATATTTAATTTTGTTGTATATATTTTTAATATTTAATTTTAAATAATGGTGGCTTTAAAATGACTTAAAACAAAAAACTTGAAGAATGTTAATCAACACTTTAATTTATTTATTAGGTAGTAACAATTTTTTACATTATAAACATTATTGTGAATAATTATTTAATGTGCACAATATGTAAATTCAAATACTAAAAATATCAATATTGTTTTTATGCAAAAAAAAAAAAGAGAATAAATTAAGTTTCCATTTTCCACTAATAATATTTAGCATAATAGTACATTCGAAATCTCTCTTGAGAGCTACTGTACTACATATTATATACTTACAAGTGTTCGAACTGTTAGTAGAATTGAAATGCTATCTATAACAACTCTTGTAACGCTTATGTTTATAAAAGTAACATAATCTAAACGTTGAGATCGCAGAAAAGAACCATAGCTTAAAGAGTTGCTTTTAATTGGGTAACTGTTGATTATATCGGTTTTATTGTTTAGCTCAATTGTCGATTCCATACTTTTAGCAATGGTGATCATGGTAGCCAAATTTATAGGATCTGCTATGCCTTTTTCAACTAAAATTTTGTCAACATCAAATAATGATATGAAGGTGATTCCACCAACTTCAAAGTCTCTTCGATATTTGTAATATTTATTGCATAAAACATTAACTAAGTCAATATTTGATTTTGGTTTGCTTATATATGTACTCAGCAGGAATGTGTATACTGTAGCTCTCTGACCCAAATCAATTAAAAAAGATGGATCTACATCCTGGATTACTTCTCTTACATCAAAATATGAAGCTACCATAGTCCTGCCATAATCTATGAGGACTATAGTGTGAGTTTTGGCTACTAAATCTGTATATATAATTCGACATCTATAAACTCTTGGTTCATAGTCATTTTTATAAGTATACACATATAACTTGTTTCCAAATAAGTCCAATGTATTACATTCCTTTAAAAAGTTAAGCATATTATCTCAATATCAAAATAATTTAATTAATTAAAATGTATACCCTTGAGTAATTTTCATAATCTTGTACGTTTTTTTCTAAATTTGTTCTCTTTTGAGAGTAAAAGTTTGCCCAAATTTTTATGAAACATCCTTGAAATTCAGCGTGAGTAATATAAAGATCATTGATAGTAGACTTATGAGGAACTAATGATTTTTCCATCATTTATTGCAGTTGTTCTATTCTAAAAAAATGGACGGAAATTGTATTAGTGTAGAAATAATTTTAATTGGAAGTTGTTTCATACAACAATGCTACTAGGCCCGGTGTAACAAGGTGGTTGGCCTAAGTCGCAATACTGTGCTGTGAAGTCAAGCATGAGGCGGAATCATTAGTTCGGGTTCTAGTAACCAAACCTCACCATATACAGAGTGTCCCACCAGAATTTACCTGTTGCGATATATACTGAGATAGAACAGACAAGATTGACATAGACTCCATAATATATTTTATTAAATTTGTTGGTAAAAAAGTTTAAAGATTTATTTTTGAAATAGTTAGATATCTATTCTGTAGTTTATTTTTCTGTCAACATTCTATTTTCATTAATTTCATGATTTTTAATCAGCTAATGGGTATATCCTCATGGGACACCCTGTATACACATGTGTTTTAACAAACTGTATCATAGCCACAGTTAAAAACCTACTAAAAAAAAAACAACCCCATGGCCTATGTGGACGTGGGGTTAATTAATAGTGATAATAAAAAAAAGAAAAATGTTGTTTATAAATTATAATAAAATGTGATCCCAATGCACTCACTGGGATTTTTTAAATGAACCAAAATATCAGTGTGTAGTAATGCAAATATGTGATTTCCTATGTATGTATCACAAAAATTTAACTTTACACCCACTGAGCTGATTTTCTGTGGGCGCCCGTGTTACATAGTATGACATTATTTGTTGTGTTACCTTATGGACTTAAAAATGTCATAAACCTAGTTTGAGTTAAAATTATTAATGTTGCGTGACAAAGATCTCCCAAATATTATGTCTCATAATTTTAATGTAAAAATTAGAGTTTCAAGCAGTTTTACAAAATAAACAAATTCCATACTATATCTTTTTATAAATGTCTAGAATTGTGGATACTCATAAAAAATGCTATCTACCACATATTTGGTGTTGGCTACATATAAAAATATAGGTATCTACCAATATCTATTCATAAAACCAAATTGTATTATGTCTGTATATACACTATAGTTTGTAGGTTGTGTGGATTAAGCATGGTTGAGCTGAGTTACTTCCATAACTATATTATTATTATTATTTCTTATTTATATATGAATATTTTGACGGCTACTACTCAAATTCATAAGCCAAGTAATTATAGATTAGGATATGGAACATACTAAAAACTGATAGGAAAATCAGAGAAGCTAGACAAATGAAAAATTACCACTAACCAGGTCTAGGGCTATAAATACGAGAAGCAAAACTAAAAAGTTATCCCAGCATTTGCATTATTAAAATGTAAGCTATAGTTAATAAGTATCGAAGAATAATTCAAAATATGCACAAAAAATTACTGTAATTCAAAAAAGCATAAGTATTTAATTGTTATTAGTAGTTATTTTTATTTATTATTTAAATACATTTTTTAAATGTCCTTAGCTTAAAAATATTATTAAAAGTATTTAATATTTACTACCTAGAAATTATTTTTATTTATTATTTTTTTAATACAATTTAAAATACTTTTTTAAAATGTACAGTATTTTTATTACATTACTACATTATTAGCGTTACACTGTGACACTATAGGTTTTTTAATTTGATCTAACTTGTAGCTTCTCTGTTACCTGAAACTAAATTTTTGAAGAACAAAAAACTTTGTTCTACATCTGGTGATGTAATTGAAGCATATTTGAAGAATGCAAGATCCTCAACCAAGTAAAAATTTATATTTTGCGTTAATAGTGGTAGACTGTAGTTACCACCAATGTAAATATAAAATTGTGAAATTAATTGTATAGTTGATTTAAATAGTTTGTTAATTTAAATTGTTTTTTTTCGAGGTTTAATATACTGAATATTATGCATTTATATTCATAAAATCCTAAAATATGCAATTAAAATACAAAACATTAAATATGCAAATTAAAATGGTATTATTTAATGCAATAGAACACGAATTAAATTTGTTATCATGTGAGCATTAAATTTAATTAACAGAAAAAAATTTCATAAATAAGCCCTAGTGATAAACAACAGAAAATACGAATACCAAAAATAAACTAAATTTAAAATAACTAACCCATGGCTACGGCCTTGATGTGTACCACAATTAAGGTTCCTTATTAAATTACCTTAGCTGAAGAAATATTTTAACATGACTTAGAGGTATGTGATTTAAATGCGAGGCTTTTCGATTCGGAAAACGATTTATTTCCTATAGGCGAGTTTGCAAAATTGAAAATACAGATCCTACTCAATAGCCGAAACTGAATAGTCAATTGCAATAAATTAAGAGTAATGTTTAGCAGACAAAAACGAAAGTAATATGATCGACGTCCAGAAAATCGATTACGATACAATAAAACCATGTGAAATACTTACTTCTGTCTTCTAGTGCAGTTGCTAGTTACAGGTACATTTCACGCACAATAATAAATGTTAAATAACAATTATTGTTCATTTGAGTCTTAACAAACACCTCACGACTCGAAGTGGATGCCGAATAGGTATAATAAAAATCTGTCTAAAATCCTGAAAATCACGATCTGTGGATACATCATACGAGCGCTCATGTAATAGAAAACAATATTTGATTTGGTGAATTGTTTAAAAATAGTAGTTTCTAAGTTCTAACCAGTGAAACGATATTACGATAATAATAATATTATACCGGTTATGAAGATGGTAATACCCAGGCGGCCAGACTGAACGACAAAGGCACAAAATAACAAAACTAAAATTAGTTGATTAATTAAAAATACATTTTGTATAATACTGTTGTGACCAAATATTAACCACAGTGTTATCGCGGCCGGGGAAGAATATGGCTGACGGTCATTTATATTTTACTATTATGCGTGGTCATCATTAACTCATCAGTCATCATATTATACCAATAAACTACAATATTATCATAGATTATACTTTTATAGGTCTAGAAAATTCTGATTTTCATGTAAAAAAATACGCAAAATGGTCGCCATTCGGCGCACAACACATTGGAATTTGGCGGCAGATAAAAATCGTGGTTCGCGCACGGACTACAATCACTGTTTACTGTTTTTGTGTAATCAGTGCTCAGTGGTCAGTGGGGGTAATTTCTAATTTCTAAACACAATAATATGGGAGTTGTGAACGCAACTATTATTATTGGTAATTATTTTCAGCGCTATTTTTTGAAATTTTAAAACTATTGAACATAATAATGTATATTAAATACATAATACTATCGACGGTTACAAAGCCAACCGTCGTAACTACCAAAAACATAATAAAATGTGTATGCAATGTAATGTCTGTAATCACTAATCAATATAATATGCTATACACATTACACATTAAATCCAAATTACCTGACTCACAGCCCTCTGTGCGCTATACTGATATATACCTATATACTGAATTAGCCGATGACACAAAGTTATCACTCAAAATAAGCGAATCGAAAACACACTAATTAGTACTTATTAAATAAAAAAGGTCCAGTTTGGATCGGAAGATTCGGTATTGAGAGGCTGCTGCTATGCTGGGCGGCGTGCATGCACCGGCTATTAAGGGACGACATGGACCAGATAGAGGCGGCGGCTTCATCAAAAGGTTTTTGAGCATCTGGAGAATAGATTTCTCTTCGAGGAGTAAAGACCTTTTTCGACCCTACTTTTACTCTGTCGCAATATAAGAAAGCCACACACCTACACGTCCCACGCGCCCACGTGTTTTACCCGTTGCAAGCAGGTGCCTGCTTGTCGATTTCTAAATTCGTAATCGTATAATACAGATCGTCCCTTTCCGTCTGTGACAATGGTTTTATTGGGGATGTCCGATGTCAACGTGCAACGATATGGCCATAATTTATTATTCTGTTGCATTTTAGTTTACTTACTTGTTACAAATACTTACAATGACCTGAGAGCAGCATACCTGCAGGCAGGGGCGCTCCCAGAAAATCAGCTCAGCGGGTGCAAAATTTAATTTATGTGATTGTGATACATACATAGGTAGTCACATATTTACATTATTATGGATACACTGATTTTCTGGTTCATTAAAAAATCACAGTGTGTGCAATGGCACCCGCTGGCTCCTCTCGGCGGGCGCCCTTGCCTGTAGGGCGTTCTCTTTGACATTAGTTAAGACTAACATAATGGGCTAAACATAATATCCCTAATATCACAATCTCAGCTGAATCCGAATTGTATGCCAAAAAAAAAATGTACAAATTGCATGCCGTCTCTTAGAGGGGTTTGTCCGAATTGCTCGCTATGAACCACATATTTATGATAGCATGCATTATATGCATAACTTAAACATATTTTTGGACTTTTCTAATTTAACATTTAAAATAAAACAATACTTTTCTACATTTCTAATTTATTATTATTATATTGTAACGTCATTTTTCATTTTAATTTAGGCCTAAATAATTGTAAACTATGCCCCATTTAATATTAACCGTTTTACAAAATACTATAACTACATGTCTACATAATATTATTATTCAAAAAAAGATGTTTTCGGTATTAATATTATGATTATTATATATCTGCCACATTGACAAATGTTATTATTATGAACTATCATCTTTATTATTATATTATTATTTATTAATTTTGTATTATAAAATATTTGTAATTATTATAATTGTAATTTTGTATGTCAAAAAAGTCCCACCAATTTATAAAATATTTGAAATACCATGTAAAAATGTAAAATACATTCACTTGATTACACTTAACTACAACAGAGTTATTTAATATTTATTATTCACAGTGGCACCTTCTACAATGTTTACATATTTTATGGTAGGTAATGTAACAAATTCCGTTCCTTCAGTGGAAATATAAGTATTTAGTTATTTTATTCGGCCATTTTAAAGTTTTTTTGAACATAACTTTTATCATAATATAATATACAATTTGATCTGTATGGGTTCTTCTTTGATATTGCAGTAAGTATGAAAGAAAAATTAATATCTTAAATAAAACACCAATTTATTCTTCATCCAAACTTAATTTGTAAGTTATGGTCAAAATTGTATTTCTATATAAGTTAATAATACACTCATATGAGTTTCTAAGGGAATCAGAGTTCAGTTTAAATACTCTGAACAATTAATGGTCATAGTAAAGGCACATTGACTAACAATATTATTATTATAATTAATATGATTAATTGAATAATATTTATTTTAATTTATAGATCTGAATTTTCTGAGTAGGTATACAAGAATATCGCAATTTAAATCCAAAAGTACAACTTAAAGTTCGGCATAAATAATGCAGTTTAGCTCAAAAGCAATTTTTTTTCATATTTGTTTTTGAATGTTTAATTTTATGGTACTTTAAAAAAAATTGCTCAAATTTAATTTGAAAGTTATGACAAAAAACCTTCAAAATGATCAATTATAGAAACATGTTTTTGAGTTTAGCATAATAAGAAATTACATTGATTAGAATTTTCTTGTCAAGAAATGTCAGTATTTTTATGGCCAGTGTGTAGGCGAAATCGGAGTTTACTATTTCATGTATTATTAATAAACCACTTTAAACCTACAATTATGTTTTACGTGACGGAATTGTTGCTTTCCTTATAGATGTATAACTGTATAGCTAATCAACAGGGTGATTACTAAATTTAAGTGAATTGGACGGGGATGTGACCTGCTACCTAAAATACTACAATTTACATTGTTTATACATGGACGCATGGCTAACAAGTAACAAGCTCTTAGTAACAACTAGTGGTACATAATATTGAATGGTTAATTATTATACTATAATACAATAGCCCATCGGCCACCAGGTTCAAAAATTTATATTGGTGTTTTGCTAGGCCAGTCCACCTGATTGATCGATAGTACAGATGTAATTTCTAAAATAAGATCGGCCTGAGTTCTTACATTTAATAATTTAAAATGTTATTGCACTTTTTATACTTATTCAATTTAATAACTTTTATTGATTAAACATCATGAAAAAAAAAGAATAGCCGTAATTTGAAGTGTTCTTTTAAATTAAATATACATAATGAATTTCAAAAACCACTTTGGAAAATATGGTATAATAACAAAATATATATTATTGAGAAAAAAATTAATTATTTTTTATTAGGATTACATTTATAAAGACAGTCTCTAATAATCTGTTTTTTTAATGAACCTTCATACTTTTCCATAAATGTTGAAAGGTGATTATCATTTTCAATACATTTTGATAAGCTCTGGACACATGTATTAGGTAATTTCAAACCATAATAAATATAAACCTAAAATAATAAGGTATAACATTTTAAACATTTGGAAGTTTAATATTAAATTATAAAAATGCAAATCTTATACAAATTTCAAAGTTATTTTTTGTATAAAATAATGTAATAGACATTTTTCAAAAAGTCTAATTATTATAGTCAATCTACAAAAGACTTGCATCCAAAATATTATAAAAGAAAAAAATGTATATACCTTCTGTGAATTAGTTATAAACACAAAACTAGGCAAAGATTTTGTATTTGGTTTTACTGTATACATTCCACAACAAAAAGCAGAAACAGATTCTTCAAACTTAAATGTTGAGTGTTGACTTGTCTGATCCATAATAAGAGTATCCCCATTCAATGAGCATGTTATTAAATAATCTGGGCCACCGTCTTTTATTGACAATTTACTTATGATAAACAGTTCTTGATCAATATTTTTACTCCTAGAAACCCAAAAAATTGAATACACATTAAATATACTTAGCATCGAGTAGTAATGTAACAATAGTTACTTGTTACTTTTTCGAGTAATATTAAGGAAAGTTAGTTATTTCTTTATCAAAATAACACTAGAGTAACTATGTTAATTATTTAATTACAAATCTTGTTAAATAACGAGTTATATTTTAACCAGTTCTGAAAAAATTATTTTTTAAATAAAATTGTTTAAAGCAAAAATCAATGCGTAAGATATGAAATTGAGGCTTTTTTAAGTTATTAAAGTGTCGATCAATGATAAGACTAAAGTTTCTAAACTTTAATACATATTGCTCCCTTTAGGCGCTTCTGCTAAATGTTTTCAGCTATAGCTATAGCAATAGCTGGGGGTATTTGAGTCAAAAATCAATAAACAATAAGTGACAATAAATTTGAAAAAACATTATTACACCTATAGGATAAATATTAAACAAAGAAAACTATTTCATGCAAAAATTACTTGTTTTAAATGTTGTAATTTTAAGTTATTTCAGTTTTAGATTATTAAAAATGTTGAAAGTAACGTCATTCTAACTAGTTACTTAAAAAAAATTATGAATTACTTTATATTATTTTTATGAAAAAGTAATCTAGTTAACTTTTAATTTTTTAACTAGTTACGTACCTTACCCAACATTGAATATAAATAACAAAATATGAAAATACCATATTAACTATTAATAAAAATGTTACCACAATATTGTCTCTTTTTTTGCCAACATTACTAAGCCATTTAAAGAAGCAATTCCATATAAATGATCATGTTCATCAAACAGTTCTTGATCACATTCTTTATCTACTTTGAGATCTCCTATCATTACTGATGATATTAAAGGATTAAGTAGTTCTACAGGCAATTCATTTTCATTTTCATATTCGATCGTTTTTTCACTGCAATAAAATAAATTATTAATAAAACTATGTACAAACATAAATCATTTTAATAAGGTTTACATTAATTCTGGAAAAGCTATGGGACAATAAAAACGCATTGCAGTGATACCAGGTTGTGAAACAAGTAAACATGGTCGATTTTTAACGTCCTTAATCAATATAATCGATCCAATTTGGTTAGCACATTCCCATTTATGTAATGGTACTAATCGTCCAGCAGCTGCACTCTGACTCCAACGATAGGAGCGTACCACTCTGTCAGTTAAACCAACAATTAGTTCCAACATTCCATCTGAATCTATATCCCCTAGTAAAATAACCTACAATTATTATGGTTTATAATACTGAAAAATTTTTTAATTAATAAATTTATAATATTTACTTTAGTGTTTGCTGGGATTCGCTGATCGTGAACAGGTTCAAGTTTCATAATACATTCATCAGATGGATCTAATTTACTAAATTTTAAACATAAATATATATGACACCAGCCATCACCAGATATAACAATTAAAGCGTTACTGCCACAGTTCATTAAGTCTCCAATAGCTATTGCAGTGATTATGCCTAATCCAGATATTTTCTGGATAAGCCTATGACCTTTAAAGATGAACAAATCACCTTCTACACTGCCAATAACAAGTTCTATTTCATTGTCATTGTCCACATCACCTAATGCAATAGCACTATTGAACACATTTCCAGGCAATTCGAAATCAAAAAAGTCAACAAAAGTTGCAATATTCATTTCGTTGGCATCCATTATGTAGAACCTAAAAATAAAATAAATGTTATTTCTATAATAAATTATCTGCTAGAAATTAAATGTCATTATGTACCAATTAATAATATAAATACATTAAGTGGTGGTATTAAAACACTATAGATATTATATTATTACTACCTAGCTCACACATTTTCAAGTATGTTATGAATAAAAATAAGTCTAATAAAGAGGATGCAACATGGGCATTTGTCCCTGCATTTGTTGTCTCCATCTCACAAGTGCCTAACATGGCAAATTAACTCTCAGCAGATCATGTTTAGCTTCGTTAATTTAAAAATTAGGGTGACCTATTATGAAACTTAATGGTAAGAACATAATAAGTGTTTGTCAGTGGGTTTCTTAAGATAATTCAATTTTTTAGCAAGTCTTAGTATAGCCTAAATTTAAAATCCTCATAATTCACTTAAAAACTGAATTATGGTAAAAACCTCACATACCTACAAACACAAATGTTCTTACCATTCACTCTAATTTTTAAACTAAAGAAAATAAACGTGATATACTGAGGGTTAATTTGCTATGTTACGCACTTGTAAATCAAAGACAACAAAATATGTTAGCATCCTTTTAAATTTATACATGTTATAGTACAAACAATTCAATATCTATCAATAATGTAAATTAATAATGTACCTACATCTAAATCTAAGTGACAATGATGCAGAGTTTAAAATAAATGTTTAAAGTAATATTTAAGAACCACAAAATCAATAGGTAATAATTTAAACCTCACACACAAATATTTAAAAAAACAAATAATACACTGTGATCTGAGATGTAAACTAATAATTTATGTTTTAACTAATTATATTTTTTGTTTTGTAAAGAAATTACCTTATGATTCTAACTAATCCAAATCAATGTGAAATAGAAATTCTTGATAATACAATGTTTTATAATTTGATATTACATATTTTTTCGGTGTTCTCCAGTCACAGTTACTGCGTATATTTGAATATTTCATGTATTATCAAAACGTATTAATAAAAACATTAAAAACTCAATTAAAAGTTAGTAGGTTAATAGTTAATACTACTCAATAACACTTATAAAACATAAGTAATTTATTTGACCTCTCATAGATCAAACAATACAACGCTGGACCTGAGGAAGTCTTGCTGAATGGTGAAAGATTATCGTATTTCATATTTTCAGAACCATAAATTGATAACTGTTAAACCGTAGACAACATAATCACAGAATAAATTTATTCTGTGATAAAATTGTATATTATCAATGTATGAATCTCGATGTAGATAAATACTATTATAGAATGTTTTAAAATAATTATGTAATATGTATATGCCAATATACCGATATAAATATATATCTGCTATTTCTCATTCACAAAGAACATTGACACAAATATGGAGGGCTTTTCTTAAATGTTGGTTTTAAGCTTATCCAATATTATATATCTACTTAAATTACAATATGGGCGGGCCGATCTATGTTCAGAATTATTTTTCATATCCCATGATCTATCATTGAAATCAAATAGCACATCCATAACAGTCACCTATTCAATGAGATGTTCAAAACTAGTTTTATCAACTATTGTAAGAGCAGAGGGATAAATTACTTTCCTTCTTTTTAAGCTTGTGAGCCCACAAGGCACAAACTAGATCAAATTACTAATAAAAATCATCTTCAATATTGAAGCATTTCCAATACTAAATAAAAAATACCACAATTTAAAATGATTCATTGCAAAACTAATACATTCATCATTCTGTCCAGAATCTAAATGTGACAATCTAAAATAGTAAAAATAAATAATCACTTTGATTCACAGCAGTGCATACAATTTATGTTATTCAGTTAAAGTATGAACATTAACAAATATATCGCACCAGCCATGAAATATAAAAACTACACTATAGTTGTATACATGTACCCATTCAGTAATGATTAGAATAAAACTATTAATAATTTTATTTTACCTTTATTTTGTCCTAAACTTTCCACAAACATTGAAGTAATACTAGTCTACAATTATATGACAAAATATGTATTACTGCTTATCAATTGGGTTTGATACTTCGAACATTCTAAGTCTTCAACATGATCTATATAATATTATAAAATATAACAACATTTATTTAACAATATATTATGCCAATGTTACATAGTACAAATATGTTTAATTATACTATCAAAAATATGATTAACATTAACATAAATAACTGTGATAAAAGCTTTCAAAAAAATTCATGTTTATAAGTATTTTATTTTATAATACTGTATAGACGATTATACAAATAGAAATAAAACACATCATTTTTTTTTAAACTATGGTTTATTATTAGTTATGAAACAAATACAATATTAAAAATAAACCATTACACGGACCTAAATAGTTTGTTTACAATGTAGGTTTTCTAAAAAATTTGGATCATAACTGATAAAATTAAAACAATTACGGTACAGAATAATACATGAAAAATTGGAATGAGAAGCTCAGTTATGAATAATAAATGTTGCACTTGTTAGGAATGTTTATGCTACAACAGTGTCCATTGAATTACATTTAAACTGCACAATATTGTTCAATTCCATTAAAAAATGAAATTTACATGAGGTTTTTGAGTTCGTCGTAGAAGACCAACACCAAGGCACCACCAGTACCTCTGAGTACGTTGGAGAATGCACCCTTGAAGAAAGCAGATGTACCTTCATTCTTGTAAAGTTTACCCCAGCAGTCCAATGTGCTCTTGTACATGCGTTGGTCAGCAGCACGGCCAGATTGCATCATCATACGACGTCTGACTGTGTCAAATGGATAGGACATAATACCAGCGAATGTTGTTACAAATTGGGCGATACCCCATGAAACTAAGAATGGAGTATTCTTGGGGTCTGGCAACATTCCCTTAGCTGTGTCGAAAAATCCAAAGTATGCAGCACGGTAGATGATGATACCCTGTACTGATACAATGAAACCACGGTACAAACCAATGGGACCATCAGACTTGACGGTTTTGGCTAAACAATCACCAAGACCTTTGAACTGCCTTTCAGCTGGTCCTTTACCGACATCAGCTCCTAATCTATAACATTAAAAAATTAAAATTAAAATTAGTATTACATAGGAAAAGTAGTTAATATCTTTACTAACCGTGTACGTGCGTAATCGAGGGGGTATACAAAGCACAAAGATGTTGCTCCAGCAGCACCACCAGATGCCAAGTTACCAGCAAAATACCGCCAGAATTGAGTCTTTTTATCCACACCGTCCATAAACACCTGTTTGTAGACATCCTTGAAAGCAAAGTTCAATGCTTGTGTTGGGAAGTACCTGATGACATTGGCAAAGTTACCTCTCCAGAAACTGGCAAATCCTTGTTCTTTTGGGATTCTCACCAAACAGTCCATAATTCCTAAGTAACAGAAGCAAAATATTAATGCTCAGAATAAAAACATCTGGTACAAAATGATTGAAGTCAAAATATCAAACAGATAGATTTAGTATTAGGAGCCAATCTAATAATTAACAATTGTTTGATAATTTTTTTTATTTGTATTTTATAATATTTTAAATATTTCATCTATATAAAGTAAAACTTGTAAAAACTCTTCCTAAAAATATTTTATTAACATTACAGTCAAAATATTATTAAAATTATATTAGTTATAAATAGAGTCCGGATTTGTATGCATTTACATATTTGTAATGAGTGTATGCATTTCGATGGGAGTAAGAAATGTTGACGATTTGTGTAACAGATAATGCATAGAAAAAAGTTTATTTTGCATATAAATGCATATTTTAGAGATAACTGCATATTTGAACATTTTTGCATATTCAAGCATATTTTGTATAAAAGTTTATTAAGCCAATTATTTTGTTTCAATTTCATCGTTGAAATTATTAGTTCATTACGTATTTTTGGGAAATAAATGTTATTCTCCGTATGTTATCGCCAGTAAATTGTGCACTAGTGCCCATATATTATTTTGTAATTCGCGTTCAGTAAATTTATAAATTAAAATTTTCATTTCATTACAATTTATAAATTTTAAAATGCCGAAAAGTCGAAGCACTATCCCAACTTTAATAAAAACATGGATTGCTCTGTATTAAATATTTACTGTCCTTTAATAAATGTTTAAAGTCAATGTCTATAATTAAAAAAATTAAGTTTATCTAATTTTGTTGAATTATTATTTATGGAAAAATTTTTTAAAAAATATATTAAAATGCATATATTTTGGGTATAAGAGCATATTTTTGGATATTATTAAAAAAAATAAGAGCATATAAAGTGCATATTTTGAAGTTTTTAGATGCACAAATGCATACTATTTTCACCTTTTGGGGTGCATACAAATCCGGACTAGTTATAAAATATAAAAATTGTGTAAGACAACTTTAAATAATACAAATAATAACAAACTATAGATACTTTTGAGGAATTCAGTTATCAACTGAAGTTAATCTCCAAAACAATAGTAGGTACCTATTTATTTTAAACGTTAATACGTAAAAATCTTAAAAATGATTTAGATTAATGGTAGCAGTGAATGCCTACATTTTATGTTTAACTTTATATACGTAGCTATAAGTTAAGTACAATTATCTAGGTCAAATGAACATTTTTCTAATTAAATTAAATTTTCAGAGATAGGATAAACCATTAAAAAATTCTGGTTTAAAATTAAAACATACATAGAATAGGTTTATAATGTTAACATAATAAGAGGATAACTATCAGTACTGATATAAATCTAAGTACAATTATTATTAATAGCTAAGAATATTATGAGACAAGAAAGCAAGTTTGAAAAAAACAATGCAAGCATATTTTTTCTGCTTACAAATTTATTATTACCTATATATGAGTATAAACATCAACCCAGTAATTGGTGTCAAAGTTTTTTTACTAAATCAATTGATTAAATATTTCCTATTCAAATTCTAAATTGTAATCAATTAATTAAAATTACACAACTATCATAAATTATTAATTTATTTTTATTATGATTTATTAGCCAGAAAGCATTCTATTATTATGTTGTTAAAATCAGTTACAAATAAGAACACCAATTCATAAAAAAAACCAACAGAATTGTTGATGGAAAAATGTTTATCAATTCGTTTGTCCCTGAAATGGGGATGGTAATAATAATTGATTGAAATCATCTAATATTTGAATATAGGCAATTCCGAAATCCCGCACGTCGTAAGTGAGTTATTCAACAATATTATACTCATGACTCTGTACGAGTGGAGCAAAACTCAATAATTAGAACGTATATTATACTAAATTATCATAATTGGTTCATAATGTGATTTAAAGAACTAATTCCGGTCAAACGGCATATGGTTCTAAGTTCGATAAATATTGATTGAACAACCGGAAATATGCGCAACGAGCATTCTTTAATCTATGGCAACGACGAAAGTGCGGGGCGCGCCTGATGGATAACGTTCGTATTGCAGACAAGAGGCATGTAAAAATTCCACGCGAATTTTATGTGCTCGACTCGCCCCCACCGCAACGACGCGTTTAATGCAGAAAAAAATATCCTAATTGCACCGTTCGACGACCCAAATGCAAATCGTTGAGATCACTACGGAAAACCGAAATCGAAATAAACCTAACCTTAAAAATAATACCTATAACGCTCGAAAACGAGAATATGGAGAGCCAAAACGCCTAAATATCAAATAATAATAATAATAATAATAATAATGATGATGATAGCAAAACAAGACGGAACGGAACGTCCAAAATGGCGTTCTTCGACCTAAACAAACCACGGCTAAAAAATGAAAAAAAGTAGGCCCCCGACCACGAGTGATGGTATATAATTGATAAATCTTGCGTGGTCGATAAGATTGGATTTAAGACGAAAAATTTTAATCGACGTCTAGAAAAATGACGAAGGCGACGATGATGACGACGGAAGCCCCGCCCGCCGCGCGCTAACCTAATTCTCCGGAATCGATTGCGCCGCCGCCGCGTCCCCGGGCCGATATCTCGAACGCGAAAAAAAACCTATAAGGCCGTGACATTGACGTAGCCATTATTATAATTGGTCGTGTTTGCAAACGGAACAAGTTATCGTTTCGAAAACGTCTTTTACTATTATCCCGTCTTACCTTTGTACTGTTGGTCGGCGGCGATCTGCGTGGAAGCGGCCTGCACTTGCAGGATAAGCTTGACGCGCTCGATCGGAGCCACGGCGGTCTTCGACACGGCAGCGGAGATACCACCGGCCATGAAGTCCTTCAAGAAACCATACGGGTCCTTCGGCGCTTTGGTTTCGGCCATTGTGAGGTGGTGGAAAAGGTCGTAAAAGTACTTTGTGAAAAATGAACGGAAAAAAGAACAGCTAGCTGTGTGCTGGCTGAACGGAGCGAAGGTGGTCTGCGCGTGTCGGACGGTGCGATGCGAAAGAAAGGCAGGTCGGCCGCCGCGGTGACGGGCGGCGCTCCGCTCGACGATAATCGAACGTCGTGACGTCATGGTCACCGAACAGCTGTTTTCGCCGCCGCCGCCGACGACCTAATGACATTTTCCGTCGTACAAATTTAATTTAATTATTACAATATTATCGTTTGCCATTTTCCGTGTAGCCCTACAAGCGTTCTAGGCTGGCAGAAACAGGTCAGAAGAATTTTTTCCGATTTCCTCAACGTCAAAGTGAATTTATTTCTACGTTTTGAGGTTATACCGTTGGGACGCACCACGTTGTTTTGCCGGGCGTATTCGAATAATAAATCGCAACGTCGCGCTGCCCATCACGGCGTCACGCGTAAACGACATGCCCACTGAAAGTCTGAAAATCTTAAATCACGTGCCACATTCGTTGTTTGTGTCCTCCGCCGTCTGAATTGAACTTCATAAAACGATCGGACAATAAAGCTCCCTAAATTAGTTATTATTGACTCTTCCGAAAAACTATCTCTATGTGTGTTTTCTGCACGTCGTTAGGATTTCTCCAAACCGCCCAGTACGTACGCGAGATTTATATGTCCACGTCAAAAAACTTTGGTGGGTATAGATCGTAGGTAATGTAATAAAACAAATTCCCTCAAAAGTTTTCACAGTTTTACTAGATACATAGTAGTGTTTCGTTCCGATCTATTGCGTATTATTTTACATGGACTTAATACTGTAAAGTGTAAAGTCTATGATTATTTATCCACCTGAACATTACAGTCAGGGTTATAAAAAAAAGTGATAAAAAATTAAAAAACAGGACGATTTTATGCAGTTCATGAGCATCGGGATAATATCTAATACTGTAGGCACCTCTCGGCTTTCAGTGATTTCCGGTTCCCAACAAATCTTGAAAAAGTTCTAATTAGAATAATGGTTCCGGTTTATCAAGGGTTATCAAATTCAGGCTGGGTTATAGATTGTGGACAAATTGAATAAAACGTTTGCTTTGATTAAATCACAACAAATAACTCGTTCTTAGCGGGACTGTGTATTGCATATTACGAAAATAATACCTATTCTGATTTTAAACAATACCTAAAAAAAAAACAGGAAATCTATTTGCAAATTAGATTCCGGTCTATCGATTAGTTATAAAAAGTCGAACCATTAGATGTGGGTTCCGGTTATCAATATTTATAGTTTATGACCTCTAATTTTTGATGTTCAACTTCCAAATCTTTAATCTTTAAGAGAAACTACTAAATTCCTCATTATTAATGCTGAAAATGATTATAAGTTATTATACTCAGCGAGATGATTATATCGTACTAGGCTGTAAAAAATATGAATTATTTTGGTTTGTTGTAAGTTTTTATGCCTTTCTCAGTTAAAAACATTGAGATTGCTCTTAGGACAATATTAATAAATCAGAGTTATGCTCAGTTGTATATAGTTAGGTACGCAATTTATTTTCACATTTTCAAGTCTACTGTACTTGATTGTGCAAACATTTTCATTATTATAAAAGTTATAATATTATATTCAGGTGCTCAGGTAGGTATGTATTTTAGACCATCGTTCAGAAATATTTATCATTTACTGTAAAAACGTTTACGATAGCACTGTCGAGACCTGTTAATTCACGGCCATTTCAGAACGCGCAGTTAAACCGACCAATGTAATCAGTCGCTGTGCACACAATTAAAACGATCATTGTAAAATGTAAATTAGAACGCCTAAAATTACGAAATTACCGTCAGCGATTAGATAAGACTATTTCCATTGATACACGACGTACGCCCGTAAAAAATAGAAGCAGACAGGTCATACATAGAGGTCTATTCATTTTATAGCACGTAATTAAGTCGTCCGCCAGAAACAACTATTTAGCAGATGATTATTGAATATTCAATAATTGAATACGTGTCGTAACTCACATGTAATCACATGTATCTGTACAGCGAGTATATCACATAATAATTCATTATAATAAGACATATCGACACATTTCATTTTAAAGGACACACACACATACACAGGATGATTATCAATGAAAACGCAAATAATGTAAATCGATAATATAATCCATCTGAACAGTCTTTACACTACACATCAGACATAATAGTGTTTTACAAAAGATTTAAGGTTTAGATTAAGTATCAGCAAAGCTTTAAGTAATAATAAAACATTTTTACATTATTTTTAAAATACAAGTTAACTCTTTAAAGAGTTCATAACGTCCATATAATCACGCCAATTTAAAATTTTATATGTACAACGTATTTTAGTAGTTCCCAAAATCCTATAATTAAACAAATCATTTAGTTACAAACATAACTATACTTAGTTTTTTTTTTTTTAATTCTTGACAATCTTATCCCACATGTCTGATACAATTTTTTATTTCAAATTGTACACTTATTATATAATACTAATCCCGGAATTGTGGCATAAAAGTGATTACAATTTGTGAAACTGAAAATATTTTAACTATTACAATGAATTGATACATATTTTTTTTTTTAAATAGATAGAAACAATTGTTTCAGTACAATTTTACAAGTATTAAATGGTACGAAAATTTTAAAATCTTTAATTTGTTAACAACCAAAAAAACGAGATGAATAAAATAAAACATTATTCATATAAAATATAATCAATTTATAAATAATTATTATCTATCAAACTTTTAGATTAATGAATGTAAAATTAGATATTAATATGGCTGACTAATTAATTTGTAAAACACCTTTTTGTACAGTTGTAAAAGGCCTGACCAGTGGATATTGAGTCTTCTGGAGATAAAGAAAGACCATTTATTTAGCATAACCAAATTCTTTAGCGTCATCTTCTGTGATGTCACCATATTCCCACATATGTAACCGATCCTTCTTAGCCTTTTCTTGAGCCTCGATGTACTCTGTCAACTAAATAGAAAAAACATGGAATGATTTAATACAAAGAAAATTGATCAAAAAATATAATTTATATTACCAATTTTTGCAAATATCTTTCACGACGTTTTTCAACCAACAAGAATCCTTCTTCGACCAATTTCTTGACGAGATCCTCTTTTTTGTCGGAGTCTTTCACAGTAATGTGAGTAAGATTGTCGTAAGTGTACTCTTCATTGATGTTGATCGTCTTGTTAATGAACTCATCACGTACAACAGCAATGGAATCTTCTTGATATTCAGGCAACTTTGGAAGCTTCACAAGTGCAAATCCATATTCTTTGGCATATGGTCGATCATTTTTAAAAGTCGGTGGTAAATTAGCACACTCCTCAGCAGTCACTATGTCCCTGTTACCATAATCAATATACAAAACATGTATACTCGGGCCAGCAACCTTTTCTACTCTGGCGCGGTACCACTGTTGATCTTCCTTAAACTTAGCTGCACAGATTTCTCCTAAAATTGCATTTAACAAATATGAATATTATTTGGCCATCTTATAAAAATTAAAAAATTATTTGTATATAAAAAATACCTCGTTTTGGACTGTAAGAACCAGCAGTAGGAGGGTTAGCATCAAAGTGTTTCCTCAAGTTGTCGGTAAGATTTTCTAATTTGGGTCCTTCAGATACAGGTTGTACGTAAACATGCAATTCAGGACTGACTTCCGATACAAGTACTTCAACATAGTTGGTTTTTCGTTCCTTTACCACATCTTCATGAACAGGTTTGCTAGTGTTATTGTTTGCCTCTTCTGGTTCCTCCACATAATTCTTCCATAGCTAAATATAAATTAATATAGATCAAGATTAGTATTTAAGAATACAATATTTTTCTCTTCAAGTGTTGTTATGTTTACATTAATTTTTTTGTCCTTAGCTTCTTTTTCAGCCTGTTGTAATTGCTTGAAGTACTCTGAACGCTCAGCAGACCTGTGCACTTTGGCAAGTCCTTCTTTTACAAGTGCCAAAGAAAGATTGATATTTCCCACAAACAACCATCCAATCATGCTTCCACCCTTGTTACAGGATTCTACAGTAATTTCTACTTCACGGTGCATTATCTTTTCTTTCGTAAAAGCTAATGCTTCTTGATGGTATGCTTCAGCTGCTGAAGGTGCTTCACCTTGGTTTGGTCGTTCACCGCTCGGGCAAGTAATACCTAAAAATTAAAGATTAGTTAAACAACACAAATGGACCTTGAAATAAACTTTTTTTTAAATAAATAAGTGGAACATAAATTACACACATTATAGATAATAATAATTCAATCAAACTTAAATAAAATATTTATTATTTACTAACCAGCCAAAAGGAAAGTAATAAGTGAGTACTCCCTTCGAACGTAAAGACGCATTCTAGAACCACTGGCAACGTACTCGACCAAAGCTTCAAACCTTGGAAAACGTTGGAGACTAGGTAAAAGAGCCTTGGCACGAGCAGACTCCTGAACATACAAATAATTATTGTAGCATTTATTTCTCCCCAAACAAAATTAAATTTATTTACCGCAGCACTAGAACAATCGGTGATACGTTGTTTAGGGGGAGACGATTTTGAGTAAAGCCCTTTGTGAGATTGTTTGGCGATTTCTTCTGCCTTCTTTAAGTCATCAAAGCACTGGGACATTTGGTCGTCTCGTGGGTTGTTCATAACAGTTGCCAAACCTTCTTTAACTAATTCTTCAGCAAGGTTTCTGAACAAAACAAAAAACAAACATACTAAGTAAATATGCCATAAATTTAAAATATCCATTAAGTATTATTTCTTAGCTAAAATTTATATATATAATACATATAAAAAAAAACCTTACATTCCATTAATCGTAACAGTGGCGCATATTTTCTCTTCAAATTTGTCTGATTTGGGTTGTATGTAATCTACAGAAGCATTTACTTTCTTTCCAATACAACGTGTCCTTAAGAACTCTCGTGCTTCATAAGCCCAAGGGATCTCGTAAAAGTGTTTAGCTAAGGTCCGTGGGGCTCGTGGAGCAGGTGGTTGATCATCGCCAAGTGGTTCACTGAAGGTAACAAATCAAAAATTGTTTAAATTGGTGTTATGTAGAAAGAGAACTATAAAATGTAGAATTACATACCCTCTCGGTACTTCAACTCCTAGTCTGGCTGGTTTGATGTTTGACAAGAATATTTTTTTGGGCTTTTCGTTGTGGGAAGTCTTAAGTAACAAAGCTTCTTCTCTTACAATTTCAATAACAGTTCCAACAATTTCTTTTTCAGCAATCTAAGCCAAAAGAACAATCTTGGCTTAACAATAATTCTTAAAAACTAACTATTTAACTGATTATTAATACCTCTGGCCCTGTGTGTGTGTACGATTGCCATTTCCTTAATTTCTTTTCCTTGGCTTGTCTTTCTGCTGCCCTTAATTTATCAGCACTTCCTTCTAAGTATTTCATACTACGATTTTGACAAGTAGCAAAACCTTGTTTAACCAATTCAACAGCAATTTCACCAGCCTTTAAAAAAGTATGATTTTATAAATAGTTAATACACATAAAACTACAAAAATTATTTTTAAATGTACCGGATGATGGATAGTTCCAAAGAAAGATGGAGTTTTATTGTTAGAAAGAACTCCTTCCAAAGTAACTTCAACGTCTTTTTGCAGTAAACGAACTTCAACAAAGAATTTTGCTTCATCCCCGAATTCTACACTTTCTGGTGGACACTAGACACAATTCATTATATTAGATATAAGTAAATAACCAAACCAACTATTTTTTACACTTATAAATAATGAAATATTGTGTCATTTAGAAAAATGATATTGTATAACACAGTATATATATAAATATGTAAATAAATGTCATGAAAAAAAAAACTTACCTTGATTCCTGAAAGGTACAGAGTGATCATGTTTCCTTCAGGCAAAAGTAACAGTTTGATGGTGGATCCGTCAATAACAGATTCAACAACAGCCTTGATACGTTTTTTAGAATTTTTCTTTAAAAATGCTTCAACATCGTCAATGGAAATATTTTTCTTTGTAGTATTCTAGATGAGAGAAAAATATTTTAATTCAAAAACACATAATTTATGTTAACAGCTATAAAAGCAGGTGTAGATATAATTGACTTATTGGGGATGATAATCGAATGGGTGAAGTCTGACTGCAGACCAAATAATCGGGGCTAGGTAAATTGGGTGGGCGATAACTTAAGTACATTTTGAAGGCGGTTAGTTGAGTTCTGGGTACAAAAAGGTAGTAGGGAAGTTGGGTCCTAGCAAAGTATACTATTAATACCATGATTAAATAAGCAGGCATGCCAGCAAAATTGTTCTGTGCATAAAGCGTGTCCCAAACATTGAATAAACAAGTTAATCATGAATTTTTTATCATTGCTCTAATGTATTTTGGGTTGTAAACAGATAAATAACGGTTTAATTCAAGTCTGGGGCACCATGTGCAGTGATAGGAAAAATATACGAGTTTGCTGACATGCTTGTTTATTTAGTCATGATTAATATGATAACCCGATTTAAATATGCTAAATCCTTATCATTTTATATCAATAACATAATACTACACAACACATATATTTTTAATTTATTTAGAACATACTATTATAAAAAAAAATATATATTTTAATTTACAACAGAATTATAAAATTTGACTTCTAATAAAGATGATACTAAATTTAAAAATTGGGATAAATATACCAACCAACATTATTTCAGGACTCAATTATCAGTACTATTTATTTCTGGGACTCAATTTACCGATCTTGAAGAAAACTGGCCACCACCGACTAAACTTAAACTAAGTGAAAAAAAAATTCTTCAAAAAATGTCTAATTTGTCATTATTTTTTGATATAATACACTATTTGAAAAAGCAGCCCACGGGGAAATTTTGAATTCTTAATTGCTCCCTACCAATACATGTTACATTATACAGTGAGTATATTATAAAACTGTGTAATACAATATTTATGTTTAGCAATTTAAAACACAAATTCACTAAATACCTTTGCATTAGGATCCCATTTTCCAGCCTTAGCAGCTTTAGCCTTGTTCTGCAGATCAACTAGGGCTTGGACATCAGGAGTTGGATTATTTGACTTCACATTTTTAACAGTTACTAGTCCATTTTCAACAAGCTCGTTAACAATATTGTGTTCTATAAGCATAAAATGTTTGTTTTATACATATATAAATTATATGAATAGAATTCATTCAATATTGAAAAGTATTTGTTCTCACCCAATGTTGGGTAAAAGATGTCACCATAGTATCGAGTTGTCTTTCCACCACCAGATACTTGTCCAGCAGTTTTGAAAAACACTTTTTTTCCAACAAGCTTTTTACGAAGGAACTCACGAGCTTCCCATGCAAACGGCTCATCATCAGTACCTTTGGATGTTGGATCATTATTTGCTCTAAAAATTATAAAATAAAATATAATATTTATCTCAAGTTTAAATTTTGTCTATTGACTCAGTATATTATTTTAAATATAGAAAACACCTTAAAATGTATAACACACAGAGTAGGTAGATACATCAAACATTTATAAACATTTCATAGTAATATTACTTAATTTTTTTTATCACCAAAATAACAGTTTTGAAACTTATATGAAGTTATTTGAAAACAATACTAACATACCGACAAAAAATAAAATATATTAAAATGAATAGTCTTCTGAGAGTTCATCCACAATAGCGATAGGAAGTTTCAGAATTGTCCAATAAAATTGTTAAATAATAGATCAAAGAAGAAATATATCACCATAAATTGAAGGTGATCATAAAATAAGTCTATTCATGAGTATTCATCAAGTGAGTTAATTTATGAGTTGTTTACAACATTTATATAATTAACTTATAAAAACCATTAAGCATCTAAAAAATATCCGCAAATTTAGATGGTTAAAAAAATGAGAGAATATTGGTTTAAGCCCAAACTATAAATATAAATTAAAATATACAGAATAATTCAGCTTTGCAAAATACTCATTTTAGTTAACTATTACTTATAAAAACCAAACGAATTTGGGCCAAATGGAAAATAGATCAAATAAATTAAATGTTTATTTAAATATAAAATATAACTATAATCAAATGATACTCACGCACGACGGCCCAATTTGGGAGCAATGATGTTGTTCAGTGTTATTTGTTTTTCTTTTGGATAACCATTATACACTTCCTCGCGGATAGTGATGGAATCACCAGAATTCACCTGTACAATAAGTATACAGTTTAAGATAATAAAATATAAATACATATACTTTTTTTTTTTTTTTTATTAAGAAAGAAAATTCACAATCTGTACACAATAATTACAATAAGCAAATTAGATAAAGAAAAACAGAATAAAAAATACATATACTTTAATAGGATAGTTACAGAAAACAATTGGTAGTAAAAATTAAAAATAATTTCGAAATATGACTATAAACTGATCAAAACAGAATATACCAGTTCTGTATCCCATTTTTCTCTTTCACCAGTCAGGTCGCTACCAAACCCCATTATGTAGGATAAGTGCATAACCAGACAAAACCAGTCACCGTCCAATATTTTGTTTTTTAAAACAGAATGTAATCTTTTAAGGTAAAAATAGATACTAAATGTATTTAACATCCATTAAGAGTAAATGCAGTTGGACACTATTCATAAGTTTTACTATTTAAATTTTTAGCGTATTACCTAGACTCAGGCCAACAAGGAAACATACCAATAATTATTGGGCTGTGGTCTGTTCTCTTGCTGGACATTCACAGAGTAGATGTAGAAATTTATTTTTCAAACTATCAAACCAACTGTGGAACCATGTAGAATTCAATGAGTTTGAATAAGGTGAAGTCTAAACTTGTTTCATACATTTAGGTAAGTGTTGTTAACACTTAGGTAAACAAGCGTTATACAAATAAAAATTGAAATAAACATAAATAAAAATGGGTACTCTCAAAAAATATTGTTAGTAAGAGAAATAATTTCAAAATACTTAAAAATTTTAGTTTTGAGGAATATACATCTACTTAACAAAATTTGTATAAATGAAAAAGAATATGTTTAAGATCAGTTGATACATCTAGTAGTAAAATTGAATTAGATAATACCCATGTTAACTACAATTATTTTTTATCATGCTGAATGATTGTAAAAAGTAGGTATCCATCCATCTTTGAAACAAAATAATACTTGAGAATGAGAAAGTAGGGCAATGTATATAAATATATTGGTTGAGCCTTTCACAAAATATTGGAAATATATGTAGATACCCATACCCACTTACGAAAAGGCAGAATACAATTTATTTATATTCATACTTTTTGAATTTCGATGGATTAAAATGTTAGTAGGAATATTTAGTATATTTTATTCCATATCTGTTGGCTGTTACACATGTTGGTAATGAAATAGGTGAAAACCCCAAGGAAAAAATCCGTTATGGAAATTGTGTACCTCATATCAATTTAACATAATCATTCTTTTAGCTTTAGTGTAAAATGCATTGCTTTCACATATAATCTAGCTATCCACCAATTCTACGTATCAAATTCATCTGACATTGAAATGAAACTTAATAATGTTTGTAGTGAGTAACCTCTACATACCCAGTGGGTACCTACTTTACTGTAATAAACCAAGCCTGTTGATGAAAACACACAGAAGGGACTTGGGAATAATCTAGTCGAATAAAACAGAGAACTCAATTATATCTCGAATACCGAGTAACCCCAGGTTTGCGAACCTAAGTCGCAGACGAATCGGCTGGGTTAACAGAGAACAACCGAGACACGGGTAAGCATGACACAAGACGTCTGGTCAGGTGAAGTCTGCGTCACTGAAAGGCCTCGGCTACACACACGAAACACGGGCCGACGGGCCAATGGCAGTGGCCAGTGGGGTAAGTCACGCATAACGCGGTGGCCACAGTGGCCGGCCGGAGTGAAAAACGTGGCGCGCGTGGCCGCGTATCGGTGTCGCAACGACGTACCTGTTTGACGACTCCCTCGAAGACCCTGACGGGCTCCTTTGCGGGGGACACGGCACCGGGCGGCTGGTTCGTCATCGTGGCTGGGCTGATGGCGGCGATAGTTGTACGATAATATTGTTAAATGAAGATGGTTCGCAAAACGGCGGCGGCCAGGATTGCGGTGCGTCACGGCTGTGTGCGCTGTCACGTGATTCGACAACGACGGCGGCGGCGGCGGCGGCGGCGATACGGTGTTACCGTGAAGCGAGCGATCGGGTGTCGTGTGAGCGGGTTTCTAGCAGCGCCGACAGCTCGCGAGCACGTTGTTGACGACGGTGGTGGACATGGCGGTGACGAGATTATAATACGACGGACAGACAGTGGCTGAAGAAGAGTCGTACGGGCGACGACGGCGGATGGACACGATAATCGATTTATATTAGACTGGCGATATTAATAGACCGTGCACGGCGATCGGTTGCGATAATACGATACCGCGGCGTTCGACGTGTGCGGAAAACAATACGTCCGGACTTGCTGGCGGGGTGAGAGTAAAAGAACGAAAACGGTAAAAAGAAAAGAAAACACGCGAAACGGGCCAGATCAGCAGCGGCGCACACGTTCGGCTACGGTAGGAGGGAGGGTGATGACGGTACACCGATACGCAGGCCGGCTCACACTCGCTCGCGCACGCAACGGCGGTAGGCGCGCGGCGCGGCCAGTGATGACGGGGCCAAGGAGGCCGCATCCGACGGTTTTTGTACAATATTTTCCCCGTAAACTTCGGCGACCGGCAAACCGATGGCCGTAAAGTTCGTATTCGACCGCGGTTACCTAAGTTACCTAACCGCTTACGTCCTGACGACGTCTCGCGTGGCCGGTGCCTTCCCATACGTCCACGCGGTCTGGCCATGTGGTCGGTGGCCATCCGGGTGGCCGAGTGGCCGCAGGCTGGGCTCATACCATGGTGGTCATATATTAAAGGGCACTCATTTTTTTTTGCTGCTCCCAGCGCCTTTTGGCTCGGCAATGGGGACAGGGAATTCCCGCAATCCCGTCCGTCGTCGTTTGTTAGGTTATGTGCGCTCGTCTCGTGGAGTGCGCACGAAACGTGGAACTTGTAAATGGGAAATACAATATAATACAGCATTATGCGTTCGGTTTACCGCCTTACGAATCGTAGTTACGACGGCAATCCGTCACGCGCAGTTGCGGCAACGTGCGCGCCGCGGAATATCACCGGTAATTTCAAAACACGTTTTGCCGCGCTTTTCACGTCGCTTCGCCTAATAATGTGATATTATTTGATTCACACCGTGGCCGCTTGTATTTCTCCGCACTTTCGACTCTCTAGTGCGATGAATTCGGTACGAGGCCCAAGGGCAGGGTCACACCCGTCAATATTTCCCAGGTGTTTCAATAAATCACCTACATCATGCAAAAAAATCATATAAATAATCGATTAAACACCGCTAGGACTTTTTTTGCAAACCAAAATGTTTAACGTGTACAATAATTATTTTCATTTACTAAACAAAATCGGCCATTTCTACACAAATACGGAACCTAAAGTTTGGAAATTATTAATTCCCTTTTTAAGATGATAATAATCGTCATCTGTACAACTGAGATTTATATATAATACCTATACTACTTGTCCTGTGCTTTCTGCCTACTTGGTAATTTAATTAAGACATTGAAGCACTATTATATGCCTCCATATCATATCGCATATTTTTTAGAGCTCTCTTACTTTGTTTGACACCCAATCTTAGGAAAGGTACTATTCGTAGTATGGTCACTTTTTATACGATCCGTTGTTTAAAATGTATACCTAACGCTGACATTTTGTACGGGCGAGTGAAAATGTTCATTTCAGAACTCTGACACTTGGAGCTATTATTCTATACGTACTTACGTATAAACGTAGCCGTGTCCTCAAAAAAAGCGCCACATGAGGTGGTGACCGGTGCCGGTTAGGCTTAGCGTGCGGTCCCTTATTTGTGTGTCTATATTGTGTTTTGCACACCATGGGTGGGCCAACAGGTCGATAGCCACATGATTTCGTGTCGTTCCCTCTCGTCTTTTCTTGATTATTCCATAATATCTAACCATTTTTTTCGTCGGTAATTTATTAAATCGGGGTGTATTGTGTAAGTATTCTGCGTGCGGCCGCATGGGTAAGTACATTGTTTGTGGCTTCATAGGTAAGTACTAAGTATTGTGCAAACGGTTCACCCCAATGTGGAGTTACCACTAGAAGAACAAAAAAAATTGGGTAAGTCCATGTCGATGGGATCTAATATGGCACATAACGAGGCGTATCGACAGCTATAAAAAAATAGGAATTACCGTGTCCGGTTTTCCGCCATCATTTAAAATTACAGTTTCCACAAATTTTAATAAAGGTTTGAATTCTGTTTCCACTATAATACCAGCTGCTTGGTAAAATTTGAAACCTATATTCCATATTTTTGGAGGTAATTTTGCAATTTTGTGCCCTTACATAGGTATATACATATGTAATACATAATCAGTATTAGAGTTTATACTTTATATAATATTATGCTGCTGGATGTTGCATTAAAAAAAAACAAATGTGATTACCCCTTAAGGGGGTATGATGAATAGTATGGAAAAATTCTATGAAAATTATTTTTTTATTTCCAATAATATGGTTTATTGAGTGGTTAAGAGTAAAAACGCCTATAAGCAATATTGTTGTAGGGAAGTTAATCCGTGCCTGTATAATTGTAAATTTTTGATATTTTTATTGCTAAACTCAAAGTCTCAAAAGTTCAAGTTTAAAAAGTAAAGTGAACTATCGGGGACGGATCCGGGGGGCTACCCCCCCCCCCCTAGACATATTATTTCCCACATTTTTTTAATAATCCTGTAGATCATGATATTACTATATTTCAAATTACATGTTTGTCTGATGATATAATATATTATTATACGCATCATTCTGGGGTGCACAAACCAAGATGTTTTCAGAACATTTATTAAGAATTGCATTGCACATTTCTACATAAGTACCAAGAGTTTTTTTTTCGAAGTCAACAAAATATTGGTGTTATAAAATTATTATCCATTTTATTTCTAATAACATACAATTACAAAATAATTCTGGACTCAATATTAAGTTTCCATCGCAGAACCACGTATCTGCCTTTGACAAATTAACTAATCCGTCATCTAATGAAAAAATAATTATTCGATCCCAGACTATTATCATAAAGTAAGAATTGTTCGCCTTTGTACATTGCCCATTCATTTTGAATAATAAGTTAAATGTTCTGACAAACATGACGTATTTTTAGGGTTACCTTTATTTTTTTGACGCCTCGACATTCTTTTTGTAGTTTCTTTATTCAAGCCTGCCCTGGTACCTGATTTATAACTTCAACAAAAAATTGTGAAGGAGTTGACGTTATTGTTGAAACACGTTTTAACATTTCAGACTTGGCTTTCTCAACTATTTCTACGTGCTCATCACCAGCATGTGAATGGCCAGACTCAATTATTGTATTTTTGTAATCTAATTAAATGTTTAAAAGTGTTTTATTAAAAATATAAAACGCTTTTTTTTAAATTGTTTAGCTTACCTTAGGAAGTTACTAAAATGGCCAAACATTTTTTCGAAATTTTATTTGATTTCTAACGAATATTTGAAACAAGTTTATGATGAACCGTATATGTATATCCATTATAAACAATTTTTTTATTTTCTTTTATTACAATAACCTCCACCTTAACTAAACGTGTCGCAATGCACTAAGTGACAAATTTAATTTAAAATTCACTTCCGGGACGTACATCATGAAATCGATTATATATACCTATTTATTTTCTAGAATCTATATCTATATAATAATCGTGGTGATAGAATTGATTATCGCTTGTAGGTGTAAAAATATGGAAGATTAACTGTATAGATATATAGCCGCGATAATCGTCAGATAGGTATATTTACTATATTATAATATATACTCGTATGGTGTAATCAGAATAAAAATCCGTAAGAAAATTTTTTCAAGTTCTACTTTATATAGATGAAATATTTAAAACATTATAAAATAAAAATAATTATCAAACAATAGTTAATGTAGGTACTCAAAGAAAAAAAAACCAGTTATTAGAGGTACCTATACAGTATACACACTACAGTTGTACTACTTTATACACTACAATAGGTAACATTTTAAGTTTTAAGTTTTCATATTATCGTATATCATATTATAAAAATGTTATAGAAAATAATCTAAGCTAATGTAAAAAAACATATATTTTAGTTATTCAATTTTACAAAATTATACATAATACACAGTATTATTAAACACAATATTATTAGTATAAAGTATGTATTTATAATCAAATATTAATAATGATTGTAATTAGTAATTACACTTGTTCACTGAGAATATTTTTTTTCCGCGATTCCTCGTAGGTACCTATACATACTTATACAACTATAGTGGATTTCCCTCGTATTTTTGTTAAGTTCGCTTCACAGTATGCATGTTTCACGTTTCGTGTTTTTCGTTTAGTAATGTTTCTTAGTGTTTCGTAGTACCTATTGGGTAAAAATAATTTTTTACAATGGTTTGACTTTAAAATTTTGATTTTGGGGTGCCAGGCTGACGGATATATAAACTGTTTATGAAAACACATGCAGATACAACAATTTAATAAAACATTGGTATCCAGCTAATATTAATTACATTCATTAGTAATTACATATAATTACAGATGAAAATTGAATAGAATATTTTATATTTTCGGACTTTTTGTCCGACAGTAAGAAAATTAATTTGGACTTTTTGTTCAACTTTCTGACCGATTACCAACTAAGATAGTACTATCTTCTTAGTTCATGGTAGACAGTCAGTGATTCCAATATTGTAGTTTTGTATTAACAAAAAATTATGCCCCCCCCTCCCCAAGGAGTCTTAGAACCAAATATTTGACATTTAATATAAAATATCGAAAATCGACTCACATAAACAGTCATAGATAAATTAGTCTCTAATTATAATCGTTTTCATACTATACTGAATATAATGTCACGCTGTAAGCTATATTATTGAAAATACGAAACTAAGTTTCTGTGTTTTACTAAAATTCACATTTGTTATTACTTATTAGTGTGTAAAGTTCTTAGTGAATAAGTTTTATTTTTTATTTTTTATTTTTTTTATTTTTTTTTTCTACAGTTCTGTATTATTGATATGTGCGTACACGTGAGGGGGCGCTACGCTATTTATTTTATAGTCATTCACACTATTGATTACTTACCAGTTACCACTCACACATAGAAAACTATCTATATTAAACTCCTTAGAGGTTGGTATTGATACTCCTTAAGGTACCTACCTAACCTACCTTCATATTATATTTAAATTTTAACTTGCAATAATTTTAAATGGTTTGTATGACAATGTTTAATATAAAAAAATATAATAATAATACTAATAACTCAACAAAAATAAAAACCACTATTATACATAAGTAATTCATAATTATTTTATAATTAATAAAATTTATTCATATTGTTGGCGGGCATACAACTCTTGCAAACTTTAAAAATGATCATTTGAGTGCATACACTTTGTAAATTCTCAAAGTGGAGCACTTACGCAAAACCTAGAACGTCTTTGGGGATCAGCAAAGTGACAATACAAAAACGAGATTCAGCAGCTCTGTTTCATCAACTAAAATCATATTCAGCTGAATTCATGTGATGCCAGAACCTCAGGAATATAAATCTACCGGAATTTCAACTATCAAAATCCAATTTCCTCAAATAGATAATTAATTTTGTTTGCCAAAAAGCATTTTATTTTTGTATTTATTTTGCATTTATCATTATTCATTGTAATAAAAATAACTTTATAACATTTATATTAATATATTTAACATTTTATACATATTAAAACACATACAATAAAGAACTAAATTTATGTAAAAAAAATAAGATAGTCTGTGATAAAAGGAAAGTGTCAAATTTTGGTAGAATTGGATAACAGGATTTTTACGTTTCACAAAATAAGCTAGGTTATCATCAATAGACAACAGGAAAGTATCTTACATTTTTTTAAACTTCCTGAAAATTTGAAATAGATACACTTCTCCAGAAGAAATTAAATGGAATTTTAAAATAAAAGCAAATGCTAGGAAAAAATATTCCACTATACATTGTGTAGACAAACAAGCAAAAAAAAAATTTTATTTCAATTCATCCATTGCTCTACTCAGAATTTAAAACTTTACTGATTGACATGAGAAAATCCAGAGAATTGCTAATTCTAATATACTTAAATTTACCAGTTACCACTTTTTTAGTGGAATTAAATTTTTGTGTACTATTAAACCAAACAATTGCCTACTTATTGTAATAATTGCATAGATTTTATTAATTATTACTGTAATTGTTACAATTTTATTTTTGGTTAAAAAAGTTAAAATTTGTTTTTATAATATTTATGTAACTTATTAGTGTTAATAATTTAAAACTGATTAAAAAATAAATAGTAATTCTCATAAAAGTATTAAGCTAGTAATGCATTATTTTCAAATGATAAGAAAAGGTTGGTATAGAACACTGAATAGTCAATCATCAAGATGTGAAGTTTTTGGTATATTTTATAATTCAGATATAATAGATAGAATAGATATTGGCGATTTTTTGAACTAACTTGGCCACCTATGGTGGATATGCACTTTGATACCCATTCTTAGGTGGTCAGATAAAAAAAGATTATATCAATTTAAATCTGTTCATCTTACAAACATTACCTATAATGATAATTGAAAATTTTTATATCATTATAATGTGATGTAAATAATTAATAAATATAGATGCTTATATATTATAATGTATACTGTTTATTGTTATATACCATTAAGTCCAAATTCACTAATTGAACAGTTTATAGAATTTACAAGAAACATAATGGTTCATATTCACTGTTCAATATTTAAAAATCATTTGTAAAGATGTAGAAGTAATCTAAGCAAGTTGACAACAAATTACATAAAGACTAGAGTTTACATTTACAGTTATAAATTATAATAATTTAATAATAATAAATGTTGTACAGAATCTTGATAATTGATAAATAAAAAAGAAACCTGGGAAAATCTCATTGAATATAAATTACAACATGTGTAATTTTTTGATTATTTTTAGAGATTTACAATATAAATGTATAATAAATTAAATTTGGTATGCTTACACTACAACATCTACATGCGATACTAGCAACTCAACGCGAGTTCTATTACAATAGCTGGAAATCAAAAAACATCTACTTATTGGGTTATTTGAATGACTTGTACCACTTACATCGATTGACGCTACAAGTACGCCTGTAATACTTTCATTTTTTTTAATCTTCTTTTTGATAGTAAAATCAAAACAATTAAGATCTAGATAATTGGTGAGAAAAGTAAAAATAGGAAACTCAAATTTGTTTAATATCTAGGAAAACTCGTAGGATGGATGAATTAAATTATTTTCATAACTTGTTAATTGTTTCTCAACAATGGTTCCGATACCATTTTATCCCTGGTGGCAAGATATGATTCACGTTCTTTATCTGGATATTTTGTAGGCAAATTTGGACTGTTGATATTTACTTTTGCTGGGTATCTTGTGCCTGCTATTTCTACTTCATATTCTCCAGACAATACATACTCGTTTGTCAATGGAAGAGCATTGCCGTTTCTATCTAAGTTTTGAACGAATCCCAAACATACCTAACAACAAATATTTTTAATTAGTTATTTTCATATAAAACATAACCAGCAAAACAATAAACAATATTATACTATTCATAAATATTTACTAGTTTTTTAAATGTGAATCCATAACTAGTTGTTGTTGTGGCACCAACATATTTTTTGTCCCTAAATATCGGTTCACCACCCCAAGACCACAATTCAGTGTCTGGATCATGATCATTCAACAGTAATTGAACGTATATTCGCTTTATTCCCTCCTCCTGTTGACGCAACAGAGCGTCTCGTCCGATAAAATTTATTCCTTTCTGTATACAACAAAAATAAAATTTAAAATACACATAAATAGATAATAAATTAATGATCTACATTAATATTTCATCAAGCTTACGTCAAACTTCACTCTCCACGATCGTCCGCATTCTAATGGAGTGGTCGATGTATCCAAATCTTGTCCCCAAAATGCATAGAATTTTTCAACTCTTAAGGCCTTCATTGCATAGCAGCCAGCATGTTTCAAATTATACTTTTTCCCAGCTTGAATTAATGAGTTGTAAACATGTAAAGCAAACTATAAAAAAATGTTCATCATAAATAAATAATAACAATTGCAAAATTCAATAATTTACTCAACAAGAGTAAATGTATGAAACGTCAATATTTTGATAATATGTCAAAACGTATGGTTCGAAACTATTAAAGTACTCTACAGAAAAATAAAATGAAAATAATGCATTGTTAAGTCAGTGGTATTTCATAAAGATTGTTTTAATACTAATTACTAATTTTATTTCTGACTTTGTTCATGACTGAATTCTTTAACAGATAATGGTAATTTGCTTATTATACTTTTAAGATAGAATAACATTTTTTTTAGTAAGTTTTTATTACCGAGTAAAGTAGCAGAAAGTTTTTATAAATAATAATTACTCATCAATTTATTTGATTAAGGTACTATTATTTTTAATTTTGTAATATTTAATTACGTTAGATGAAAATTAATTTTTATATTTAATATCTATTACGAATTATTAGCTATAATTATTTAAATTATCATTATGTATTATGTAACATTTCAAGAAAGTAATTGGATACAATTTTTTATTTCTTTTTATCATACACCTAATATAACTAATATTTGTGTAACTCATTTTATAGCCAAAATGTATAAATTAGATGAGCATAATCTATTGGTTATTACAATTTACAATGTTTACTAAGTAAGTGTACTAAGTTTTGCTGACATTGTACTAAATATGATATGAATGATAGGATTGAATAACCATAATAACATAATACCTCATTTGGTATGTAAAGAACATAGCCTAGCTCTCCAGTATGAGTGAGATTTAAGGCCCTAATGCCATTGGCTAGGCCTACATCTAGTTCTTTGTAGGTGAAAAATGGAAATGATTTAGGACTTAAATCGGTTTCTGTCATCTCAGACAATAGGTGTCGTGTAAAAGGACCCATCAGACAAATGGCAGTGAACATGGAAGTGACGTCGGTTAAGGACACAGATTTATCAGTTGGCAAATGGCGTTGGATCCAAATCTTGCAACGAGTCTGTTGGATCGTCGGTGCAATCATCATGTAACTAATACAAAACAAGGTCACTATTAAATCAAATGTAGACAAAACAAAGTATTAAAAAAATTACTGATTCTCTGACAGCCTAATGAGACTACAGTCGTTTTCGTAACCGCCTCGAACATTTTGCATGCCTGTGTGAATAATACTTCCAATTGGTACGTCCACGTCATTTGAACAAAGGTATTGTAACAAATCAACCACTTCTCGGCCTTTGGACTATAAAGAAAAAATGCGCTGTTCAAATGTTAATTAACTTTAACTTAATGTACAATATAATGGAACTAACTCAATTTGACGATTTTATAAGTGCACCAAGTATATTCTACCATTTCATTAGTTCTGTAGGAGTTTTTTTTTTAATTTAATACAAAAACTAAATTTAGGAGGTACACGAATTTTGTCATTGAAATTAAATCGATAAAATACTGCACCAGTTCACAGAATATTGGTCAAATCGAATATGATTTTGCACTTAGCGCAAAAATTGTGTTAAATTGAAATCGCTAAATTATAAACTAATTTTTACTTTTACGAAAGAATTGAAGTTACTAGTTAATAGTTCATTTTCCCGCGGAAATATTTAAATTCGAAACCAGCCGTATGATACGACATTCTAGTATTATAATTAGTTACCGTGGTTACGGTTTGATTACAAATTTCTAGAACGATTTGCGGTTAAATATTGATAGCAATTAGTGACGATCATTGATCGAACGACGAACATTCGATTTCCAGACTCCCAGTGATTCGGTTAAAATAATTTTTTGGTGACTGGTGGATGCCTCCACAATATTAATTGTTTATTATTCCTATTACAATTTATCAGTGAACTTAGTCGCAGAAACCTTAGAACGCGGCTGAAACCGACCAAAGTATACTAATACTTAAAAACTTCAAGTAATACTGTTACAATAAATTAGGTTCATATTTTCAGCCCATTGAACATTTGAACGGTATGTCCACTAGTCTTAAAACCATCGATTTCGAGGTGTTCGGATGCGTGCAGAAAGTTTTCTTTCGCAAATGCACCCAGGAACAGGGTAAACAATTGGGCTTACGGGGTTGGTGTCAAAACACGCCACAAGGCACAGTGATTGGCACAATACAAGGACCACCGGACAAAGTCGTAGAGATGACTAAGTGGTTGCGAGAAGTTGGAAGTCCGGCCAGTCGTATAGATAAGGTGGAATTGAAGAACGAAAACAGCATTACTGATTATACATACTTGGATTTCGATATTGTTAGAAAGAAAATATAATGTTTAGTAATATTTTTGAGTTTTGATATTTTGACCATGGTGGATACAAAAATAAATATATTTTTTAAGCTTTATATCAAAAATATATTATGTCAATAGTTATGGATAATTGTTAAACATACTCTGTTGTAGTATTGTGCTTTGTTTTGATTAGGAAAAAATAGTATTCAAACAACTACACCACTCATGCCATACAATTCTAAGAATATTTTTTTAAGTCTTGAAACACTAACTACATAACTGTTCAACAATTCACTTTAATGAAACATATTAAAAATCTATTATTGCTCTACTTTCACAACACCAACACAGCTGTATAATAAATATTTTTAGAATAATAAGACCATAAAAAAAAGTATTAGGTACCTAATTCATTTTGAAAAAAAAAATTAAAAACTGTAATTTTTTATAGTCATATTAATTGTTAGATACAAACTAAACTAAATAACTAATTAAAGGTTAAATAAATAAAGACAAATGTTTTAGATACTATTTAATATTGTTTTAAATAACCAAACTTTTTACTTATATTCATGAAAAAGTTTAATAAACTTCAATATGTTTTATAAAAACAGTATTCAATAAATAATTAAAAATGATTCTGAATTACTTTTTAAATCAAAAATTATTAGAATGTTTAAAGAAAACATTCAAATAAATTTCATAAGGGAGAATTATTGTAAAAAAGGTTATGGTTACACCAAAAGTTACTGTTCAAATTGATATACCATAAAATATTAGATAAACAATTTTAAAATTTTAATAAGATAATTCTTTTTATGTGTATGACTACAATCTTCTATGGATCTCAAGTAGAACTTGTTTTAAAATATTGTTGTTAAGAAAGCATTTAATTTCTCATTATGCAAGAACATGACACGGAATGTGTAAAATTTAAAAATTATGTAAATTATAAAACACAACAACAAGAAAATAATATGGATATTAAGAAACTTATAGTATGCCTCAAATCCTGATTTTTTTAATCAAATTTGAATTTAAGATTTCAAAATCATTTCTATGTTTAATAGGTATTTTATGGTATTTATATTAACACATTGAATTAACTGTTATAATAAAAATATATATATTTACTCACTTGTATATCCAATTTTGTGAAAGAAGAATAATCTAAAAGACTAACATTTTCTCTACAAGCTTCATATTCAGCTTCAACAATGTCGAACCAGTCAGGTTTTCCAAAAGTTTTTGTTTCAGCCATAGTAAATTTTCTTGTATTCATGTAGCTATGTAAATGTACTAAAAAATTTTTAAAAATGAATGTATAGAACATAATAATATGTCAAACAATTATTGAATTATCAATACATTGTATTGAACATAGATTAAACTTACAAGAATAGATAAGACATTACTTGTATATCGCTTAGAGGATAATTTTTGGGTTTCATGAGCTTTATTACTAGTATTTAATCAAAATGTACTAGCACCCAATTGAAAAAAAACTTATTTTGTATCTACACTTAATTGTATGTTTGTACCTTTTGGTAGATCCGGTTCAAACCAAGTGGGCCTTTCATATCCCATGACTTGTTCAAACACAGCACCGGCTTCTTTCAACTTTGGATATATTGGTGACATTCTTAAATTACGTCCAGTTATAAACTCATTGTTTGGATACTGGAGGCTATAGTGTCTGCCTAGAAATTAAATCATCTACGTACAAATTAATCGTGTTTTTGTGATTGAACAAGTTTATATTAAAAAGCTTAATATTTATAAGAATAATTAAAATGTTTGATTCTAAGAAAAAAAACATACCAGGTACTTCTCTTACTCTGTCTCTAAGGAACCTTCTGTTATTATGTAGTCCTAAGAAACGGCTCATTTCTAATTCATACAAATCATATTGCGAATATCCATTAACAATAGTTTCAGCGACTCCTTGGCCTACCCCACCTGCGGCTGATATACCAACAGTCTTCATTCCAGCAGCAACATAATAGTTAGCAATCTATATTTTAAATTGTACAAACATTAATTTATCATTTTAAATATTGGTTTTCAATATTAAATTTATGCTTACACAACAAAGGTCAATATTTTCAACATCAGTTTGAATTGAACAACTGATTTCACAAAGTTGTTTCAATTGTTTACATTATTGCGCTGTTTTTATTATTTACTTACAATGAGAGCAATGTATATACAATTATAAGTGGTACCTATAGCTGTATAGGTAAAATTTTGTTTGGAAATAGTCATTATTTCATTATTGATTCAAGATAAATATATTTTTAGAAGATTGCGATAACATTTATTGATTTATTTTTGCAATAGGTACCGGTTCATAAATAAGTAATAACCTTTTAATAATATTTAAGTTGTGGGATTTCAATATTTTGAATATGATGGTCAATTAATGTTGAAAAAATCCAATAAAATATAATTAATATGGAAATCTGCTGGAAATCAAAAGGTATGACACAAAAATGTTATTGTTTGCTTTAGGCTTACTTTTAGTCAATAATAATTAATGTAATATTGTTTGTTTGAGATTTGTCATACGAAAATGTGTCTATTGATTGTTATTAGCTATTTCCAGTTATATTAACTACTAAAACTACTTTAACATGATATTAGAGGAGTATATAAAACTATTAATACTTACTTCAGGTGCTTGACCAACAATCCATTTACAGTCTGGGGTAAATGTTTCAGCAATATTTACTAAGCTGTCAAGTGAAGCATTTGCTAATGATGGCACTCTATGTAATAGTTGTTCGATTAATACATGGAAGTGATCCCAGTCTGCTAGCAATTGTCTTCCAGCTGAGTTATCTGTAACCAGTAATCATATAAAATCATATTTATAACTTAATATATAAAGCCGGATTCACAGCTCCGTTGCGTGTTGCGCAGTGTGAAGGTATGGTAACTATATTGATTTAACAGTTGACCTGTAGCCATTTCTTTGTATACTCAGTTACAACTTGGTTATTACATGATACCAAAAGGTAATGTGCAATGGGATTTGAAAGACACGACACGACATATAACATAGTTGTAAATGCGCCTAATACTTTTCATTGATTTGTTGCACATTATCACATGTCTTACAAGTTGAGTTTAACTTAAGTATCAAATAAAATATTGCATTATAACTCCTTAAAAACTATGTTTTTGTTAACTTAAGTAAAAAAAAAAAAATAAGTAATGAGTAGGATAATTTCCAAAGTACGATATTCATAACTTCGTAATGCTCTAGCTGTCAGCATATAATAATAATGAAAAACCAGAAAACATACATTTATATAAGTACAAATTGAAACTTCTGAAACAGAAGAATATCAAGATATTTAATAAAATAATCTTTAAAATAAATAACACTTCTGGGATAAATATTTACCCTATGCACAATTACTCTTTAAGTAGGTTTTACAATTTAAAAAAAAAATCTATCCATGTACATTATGGTTTACTTTAATTTCTATTTATTTTAGTAGATAAAACCATCAATTATAGTTATTTTCTTTAAGTATTTTACTAATATTTCAAATTACCTGGACATCTTGCATTTTCAAATGCTGGTTTAGCTTCGAGTTCAAATCCACCAGCAAGAATACATCCATTTAATTCTCTAAAATATATAGAACCATCTTGATCTCGAACAACTAGACAAATAAATAAATAATTAAACTGTTATAAGGTCAGTTATTTTTAATTTATAAATGTTAAGTTATTTATATATACCTGGCGTTAGAGAGTCAAGATTTGATATAGGATTAGTGCGGAGATAATAATGTTCGACAGGGTGAAGAGGTATTTTGACTGAAGGATTGCTACGTTGTCCAATTTTTCTTGCCCAAAAACCACCACAGTTTACATAATAATCACAATCAACTGATCCCATTGACGTGTCAATGGCAACAACTTTACCATTATCACAGACTACTTCCAATAATTTACAATTTTCGAGCACAACAACACCTAGATATTATTAATTATGAAACATTGTTAATTTTTTAATATATTATGCTCAAGAAATTGTTATTTTTTTAGTAAAACATACATAATTGATTCTAGGAGTTAAATTCATGAACTAAAATGTACTCAACATTGTTTGTGGTACAATAAAAATTAAATGTTAGGTATATTGATAGAGAACGATTCACTAATTATTTTAAAGATTTTATATATTATGTAGCAAAAAAAAATTTTGTTTCTAAGAATATTAACCAATATTATCTAGATAATGCTTAACAAAAGCAAACAATTGCCAAACACCTTTTTGTTTTGCAGCTTCTAATAGAGAGAGACATATCTTGTAAGAATCTGCTACACCGTCTTCAGGTATCCACATGGCTCCTTTAATGTCGTCGATTCTAATAAGTGGACAGAGTTCTTTTGCTTTTTGAGGATCAATTATTTCACATTTAATGCCCCAAGAACTAGTAGATGTAGAAACAGTATTATAATTAATTACGAAACAGTGAAACTAATTGGAAATAAATATTGATCATCTTACACAGATTGGGATTTCATTCTTCTAAAAACAGTCATGCGATCTCTAGTTCGGGCAACACAAAGACTACCGCATTGCTTCCAGCCTGTTTGGAAACCTTGAGATTCTAATTCTTGGTAGAGCTTGACACTGGATTGACAGAGTCTGACTTGACTCAGTGTGGGTTTGAACACACCAACTAGGTCTGCGGAAAAAGAATTCTCTCCCCCTCCTAACCTGGAAACAAAACAAATATTAGCGATACAGTGTTACATTATATTATAATATACTTAAAAGCGCAGTCATAATTTTGTTTACTTGTCTTGTTCGATGACTATGGTTTGTGGACCCCAACCTAGTTGAGCTAAATGATAGGCAACAGATGCTCCCATGACTCCACCGCCGCAGATCGCGACTTTGCAGTTCTTTGGCAAAACACCGGCGTTGGTAGAATACCTTTGGCATTTTTGATTTCTACGACTATCCAAATACGTTTTCAACAGAGGACAATGAGTGCTCGCCACTGAGAGAGCATTACAACTACGATTTGAATAGGCTCTGATGAAACCCATCGTTAATCCAACTGAAAACAAAAATGTACACTGAATA